TATTTTACTTATTAATTTTAAAATTTATTAATTATAAAAAAGCTTAGTTTTTTAATTGGTTAAAATTCAAGATCAATATGACGATTTTGAATACATTTTCAAGACTTTGTGTAGTTTCAAAGTTGTTTAAATAACACATTTAAAATTAAAACAACATGGTTGAAAAATTTGTGATATGAGCTGGACATGAACTCTAGATATCAAAGAATTGAAAAATTTACCACATTTGTTAATATTTGAAGATTGGATTATATAATTTATAAAAATATGTGAAGCATGTTTTTAAAATATTCTGTAATTTTGCACTATTATTTTTTATCATGAGTGTATTTTAAAATAAGTTATTAAATGTGAAGTTGAGATTTGACTTTATGTATGAATTTTGAGCATAAGACTAAATCTGTTATGTATATATTTATTTATTTATTTATTTATTTTGCACAGTTGTAATACAAGTAATGAATTTTGTAAAGTAATCACAATCATTGTTTAAAAATAATAGAATCTATTTTATTTATGCATTTCTTCTCTTATATATAAATATAAATATTTGAATTTGAATTTCGTTTATTTACAAATATATATTCTATTTATTTAATTTAATTTAATTTATTAACCCTTTTTAATTTTATATAATTATTCCATATTCCACATATAATTCTATGATATAATCCCTTTCCGACTCTTTAATTCCATATAAAAGGATTTTCCTCTATATTATACTACAGATCCTCAACAGATTTATTCATTTTGTTTTAAATGAATATGTTCGGAATGATTTTTATATCTTATTACATATGAATATAGTATTTGACAATGATTGGATGAATGATTTGAAAATTGTGATTGCTTTTGATCAAGGAATTTTTCAAATCATCTAAATGGTTCGCACATATAATGATTCAAGATTAGTTCCTTAACACTTAATAGTGATAAATATTATAAATAATTGGAAATACATCAAAAATATGATTGTTGTCAAAGATCTGAAATGGTTGACACAAAGAGTCAAAGTAGACTTCTCTTCGACCAAAACCTCAAGCAAGGCTAAGCAAAACAACATTCATACAACACTGTCTGCATTGAAAATGTTTTAGTACCAATACAATCTTTAGAATGTGGATAAACAATTGGGCAGAATTTGAATTATGACTTCTTGGTTACTGAGGTTGAAACTTTGAAAATATTAATGTATGACTGTGCAGTCTTTAATACATAAGTCAGGTTTTGAGAAGCTATAATTTTTCTTTTGTGTTATGTTTATAAGCAAGAAAGTATGTGTTATCGTTTTGAAAGTAGCGTACATTTTATTTCAAAAATTTGTATATGTTTAACCATGTGACATCCATGTACTTGGAGTTAACTCTCATCAACTCTTATCTACGACCATAAGTGAATATTATTATTTATCTCTATATCTACTATACTGAATATTATAAAATAACAAAAAGGAGGGCAGACACTTTGCGGGCCGGTTAGTCGGAAGATTACTTCTGAAGATTTTGTATTTAAAAAAGATTTTGTTCTTCCGAGAAAACATTATGTTTGTAAATATTTTGATGGTGGGAGTTTTTGTCAGATATAGGCAAATTGGGTATCGTTGGAAAGCTCTCAACGCAACTAGCAAAGTTGGCCACTTTCTAAAAGCTAATATATAATCTACAAGAAAAAACTTGCTGAGAATAACCTTGTTGTGCACATAAGCATGTCTACTTCTGGAAGGGCGTTGATTGTGATCCATGGTGAGTTAGTTTTGAGGATTGGCAACAATTGAAGTAATGTTGAATCTCATACGAGTAGATCTAGATATAGAAGGACAAATCATGCAAAAAAAATATCTTAATCAAGGGGAATGTCTCTTGAGAGTAAGACGATGACTTGTTGAAAATGTGTCAAGATTGACCACATCAAGAAAGATTGTATGAATGTGAACGTGGCAAATCCCAATTTGTGAAATGTTGGGATTAACACGACGAGATGTAAGTATATGCTCCTAAGAGGAAAAAAATCCCAGTCTTAGGATAGGAATAATAGAACTAAATTTAGAAATAAGTCCTCTGAAAGGAAGATGATTGCTTGTTAGAGATGTGTCAAGAGTAGCCACATCAAAAAAGACTACAGCGTAAATATCAAACACGATGTATCACTTCCATTGATGAATGATGCATAGAACTTTGATCCCAAGGAGAACCATCCTCAAAATGACGATCTATGATTCCAAAGAGTTATAGGCTTTATGATTTGATAGCTTGTAGATTCTTGTCAGAATTTCTTTGAATGCTTGGATTTCTTTGAATGAGGCCTACATCATTGAAAGAGGGAAAAAAAATTTATGCTCTCTATAATGACAAGGGAAAAATATCTACCTATTGATATAATCGTGGAAAAATTTGATCATTATGTGATTAATGATAAAAAAGTAGCATCGATACTAGTGAATTCTTGAGCACATGATTGAGATAATCAAGATTGATTGTAAACTCTAATGATTAAGCTAATGAGGATTGATAGTTATTTTGTTTGATTGAGCTAGTCAAGATTGAAGGTAAATTCTGTTCGATTGAACTGGTCAAACTTGACGATAAAGTCCGGTGATTGAATTAGTCAATATTAACGGTAAATTTGATCTAATTGATGTGTTGATCAAATTTAATACTTTGGAGAGTTTCTTGTAATACTGTGTTACTATGCAGGTTTGCATGGATAGCACAGGTGAAGTTTGCTACCATAGTATCTTCAATTATCTCTTTATATAATTACTCTATCATGTGATGGTATAGCTTATTTCTAGTTAACTCTTGTTTAAAGAGGGACATTATTTTAGATTTTTTTCTAGATCTTGCTACGGAGTAATTATGTAGTTTATGAGGTTTTTGTTCCCTTTATGCTAGGATTTTTTAATTATCTTTTTATGTTATTAACTCTTGTGTAAAAAGTGGCATTATGTTAGATTTTTGTCTAGAACCTATCGCGGAGTGATAATATAAGTATAGAATTGACTATTTTCTTAACACTAGTTAAGTAAACAGGGGAGATTGTTGAGGTTAACTCCGATTAATGAATAACCTCTAGTCTTAGCTATTTATAACTAAATTGGTTGCCAGTGTTTGATACATATACTCATGATCTCTGTATTACCAGACAAGAACTTTCAGTACAATATCACGATACTAAACCCCGTGGACATAACCACTAGGTCAAGTATACATTCAATATATTCAGTTGAGAGTGAACCAAGTTATAAGCCGGAGTGTCTCACGTTATACGCTGATTTGTCTTTGATGATGGCTTGGATTGAGTCTAGGGTTTTACGTTAACAATATGAGCTCTAGATCTCAAACAATTAAATGATTGAACACATTCTTTAAGTTTTGAAGATTAGATTATAAAATTTCCACGGTTGCAATAAACTCAATGAAATTAGTAAAGTAATCACAATCTTTGTTAAAAAATTGTTTGAAATGAATATGTTCAAAATGAACTTTGTACCTTATTACACATCAATATATACTTTGACAATAATTGGATGTATGATCAGGATGTTGTGATGGATTTTGATCAAGGAATTTATTTAATGTAAATTCAAATGATTCAAGATTAATGCCTTAACATTTATAATTATAAATATTATTCAAAATTTGAAAATACAACAAATATATGATTATTGTCAAAGATATGAAATTTGTGCAAGAATGAAAGGTTAAATGTGCTAGACCTTCCAATCAATCATGTTTATTTGTTTATCAATTTTTAAAGATTAAATCATTCAAATGAAGATGAATGAGAAGTGTAATCAAAGAATAAATGGTTCACACAAAGAGTCAAAAGAGATTTCTCTTCAACCAAAAGCTCAAGCTAAGAGATGGATATATGATTGAGCAGAATTTGAATTATGACTCCTTGGTATCTGAAGTTGAAACCTTGAGAATATTAGTGTACGACTGTATAGTCTTTAATAGATAAGTAAGGTTTTGCTCAGCTATAATATTTCTTTTGTGGTGTGTTTATAAGAAAAAAAGTAAGTGTAAACGTTTAAAAGGTGGCATACATTTTATTGTGAAAATTTATCTATGTTTAAAGATGTGACATCCATGTACTTGGAGTTGACTCTCATACTACCATAAGAGAATACTATTATTTACCTGTATATCTACTGTACTGAATATTATAAAATAACAGAAAGGATGGGAATATTCCATCAAATCGGACCTTTACGCATGATTTGCTTCTTCGGTCGCTGCTAGTGTCTTCGACCAAAGTGCACAAGAGGCCATGAGTGGGTATATCAAGTGGCTACCCTTGCAACATTACGGCCGCAACTAATAGTGAGCTCCATTGTCTCCAAAGCAAGAACATGTTCTACAATCAAGGCATGTAATAAGAAATATATAGTATGATAGTAGTTGAAGACGTCTAAAAAGCTCCACATATGCAAACTCTTAGTTCACATGAAGTGCTACACGTAGAGCGCAAACGTTTGTCAGCATGTGGACTTATGATACAAGTCGTGATTTGCGAGAACCTAACGGAAACATATGTTGAGTCAGATGGTCGCGCATCAATGTGAATGCTCAAAGTGGTGCGCTGTTAGCTCGACATCGAGCTAACAGCACACCACATTGCAAGGCAAGTAGCTCGAGCCAGCGAAGGCCGAGAGTTTAGCCTCACGTGGAGCTGAAAGCTTTGTCGAGTTCCACAGTAAGGATTCGGGTGTTGAAAATTGGTCGGCCCCATCGCACCCGCGATCGATCACGAGCTTCACCGCTCAACCCTGTCCATTCCGATAACGAATGGTGTGAGCCGAAAAGCAAAGAATCTGGGAACCCCGCACGTCGCCGATGTCAAACAACGGAAACTCCGATCTCGTCGCGATCACGGGTTTGACCTTGACCCCGAAGAAGAATCCCGATCCAGCCCGCGGAATCTTCCACGGGCCGGCCTCGTTGAAAACCGGCGTCACAGCCCTGCGCTCTGGAGCCGCACATCTGTCGAAACAGGAGCTACACAGTCCCATCTACAGAGCCCACTATTTTTAGCGGTCTTGCTCCAGAGCTCCGCCGGGCGAGTCCACCGGCCCGCCCCCCCGTTGAAAACCGGCGCTCGGGCACCCGTGGGCGGGGCTGCTGCTTGGGGCTTGACGACAGAGCTGGCGGGGCAGATATCGTAGCAGAGGACGGGCTCGGCTCCAAGCTAAGAATGGAGGCACCCGGGGGCGAGGACGGACCGGGTGGAGGTCCGAGGGCGGGCGGGGATCTCGGGGGCGGGCTAAATCGGGGGCCGGCGTGGGAGGCGGGTGGAAGATAAGTGATTCGCCTGCGGAGGCGCAGAGGCGATACAGTGGGAAGTCGGTCGTCGCGTCTGTGGCTGCTGCGGGCTATAGATGGGAGATGAGTTCGATCATTCTCCGTGAAAATCTCGTGAACATGCAGGAGAACAGAAATCCTGGCGCTTTGACCTACCGGACGGCCACGTTAACGCGAGTGTAAATTTATCCAGTGTGCTTGCATGGAAGGGTTACCGGGAGGAAGGTGGAGGACCGGATCGCGAGCGGCAGTCGCTGACAATGACAAAAGGAGGGGAAAAAATACTGAAAAAAGACATGCGCGAGCCAACAGTGGCAGCGATGGTCGATTGATGGAGGATGGCGTGGGGGGCGGGCGGGCGGGCGGGCGGGCAGAGACGGGCCGGAGAGATTCGTGGCAGCCCAAGTCGAGCGGTGATGGAAATGGCCGAGATGGGATAAATCGAGCCAGCTGAACAGTTGCATGGTCATGGCCTCGACCTTTCCCTTTGACATTACCGATGGCTCAGGTGTGGGCTAGAGTTGAGGAAGTTGAAGCTACACGCGCTGACTTTTTTCTGGCTGTGAATCTACAAATCCCCTCTGCCTAGTTTCTTAATTTCACTCTCTCGAGCTGCAGACCCACCTGCCTCAGCTTGCTTCACGCTGTTGACCCCTTTACCTTTAGCTGCTTGCGAGCAGCTTTCAACTCCTTCATTCTCATTCTCTAAGTTCCCCAGCCTCCAGCCCCCAGCACCGTCTGCCACCTCGTCTCCTCGCTGCCTCGCACTTGCGAGCCAAAATGACGAAGCTCGTTCACTCTCTCGCTTTGGTCTGCCTAATCTGCATCACCATCATCTCTTCGGTGCCCGTGTGCCTGTCGGTCCGCCCGTTCCCAGCAGGTACACAACGCTGCACGTGAGGCTGCGTTGCAATTTATTTTCTAGATCTCCATGTGTCTTTCTCTCTCTACCTGGGGCCGTGAGTAAGTCTTGCAGTCGTGTGTGTGTCCCAGTCTTCTTTCGTCTATCTATCTCGTACTCCTTCCCGTCTTCAAGCCTGCAAATTATCGCTGGATTTGAAGAATCATCAAAGTCTTAGCACTGTCTGCAGTAGAGTCCCTCAACAAATGGCTAGAGGAGAATATTAAATGCCTGTATCCCGCTGAGCACTTGGGTAGTCCAGGCCCGTGTTTCTGAATATGATTATGACTTCTATTTGCGCCTAACCATGATCGGATATGAAGCAGGAGTGGGCATTCAGGTAGTTTTTAAGTTCTTAAGTCATGAAGGTCGTCAAGACGAGGCCAAATGCTCGATCTTATGACTAGGCTCTGTGAAGAGTCCACTGTCCCGGAAAACACAAGTTCTGTGCACGGGGTGCCTGAGTTCTGTGCCAACAAATCAGATCATTGACTCTAAACCTTGTGTCTGCGCAGATTCGGAAGTTGTGGCGTCTGCAGTCGTTGATACGACCAATGATGAAGTGAGTCACCCCACGGAGGCGGCTTCTTCAGTCGACACCACTGTGACTGAAACCCGAGATGAAGACATGGTACGCGTTTCAGTCATTCCCGTGAGTCGAACAAATTCGAACATCAGGTCATTCGGTTCAAGTCAAATGTATGCGTTGAAGTATCGTATCTGTAAGAGGAACGAGATACTGGTCGATTCCTTGTCATATGAATGTGTAGATCTTGACCCAATTCAAGCACATGCATTGGGTTCGAGGTCAGATGCGCTGCATCGAAGAAGGGTATGTCGAAGGTCAAGGAACTTGAGTGGAGTACCTAAACTTGCGTTGCTGTGGTATTTGCGCAGAATGTCAGCCCGTGTTATGCAACCGTGGCCGAATCACAAATCGAAGGACGATCTGAAGCACCTGACGCCGATGATGATCTGACTTTGGTCGAAGTGGACTGCCGAAGGATGCTAGCGGACTATGATCCACCGAAATCCAACACCAACCCAAAGAAGAGGGGTCTGCTTGAGGTTTCGACGGAATTAGGTGTTTCCGAAGCAACCACGGAGCCATCGACCTATAGCACTGCATTGTGAGTGATGTTTTCCAATCATCTACCGTAGTCAGTCATTCGAGGTCACTATATATATCTGAATCGATCTTGCACACTGTGAGTGCCTTGCTCAGGCCTCCGTTGCATGTAGAGTAGAAATTTAAGTTCAACTTGCACATTCTTTGTGTAAATACGTCAGCAGTCGACCAGTAGTATTGTGGTTACAGAAAGCTTGCGCTCAATTATTGCAGCTCTAGTCTACACACTGAATCATGAGGGATCACAGAAAGAAAGACCGCGCACACATTTACGGTTAGTGTGGCATTAGGAAGTTCGTAGAGAGAAGCGAAGAGGCTTCATTGAATCTTCTGAGAACACAATATTGGTGTTCCAAAGCTTGATTTTAATGTATCAGGTACCTTTTTTCAATTTAGGCTCCGAGGAGGATGGTGAATCGTCTCAACTCCTAAGTGTACCGTGGCCGCCATCTTCTGTGTCTTTGGAGGATTATGTATGTAGGGCGTCTGTACCTCATCAACTGTTGACACTGTGTTTTGTGTTCCAACGGAGTAAGTAGAGTGGAGGGAGTTACATTTCTGAGTCTGCCATAAATATGATTTTAGAAGTGGACCGATTTGTAGTCTAGTACTCTTGGACAGTGTACCAGCTATTAAACTATGACCGTGTTAGAGCCTCGATGAGAGTCTTGTGCTCTTGTAGATGCACTAAGCAGTCTGCTTAGTAGTCAGTACTTGCTTCGTATGTCCATCTCTCTGACTGTGAGCAAGAGCATTTTAATTTGGAATGCGTGCTGCCGCAGCATCACAATTTCTGTGTTAGTGACATGCACCATTTGATCCTCACAGCCTCACCATACTATTTTCGTTATGCACTCGTTATGGTCAACATTGTGCTCTAATTCCATGACTACGACACTCACAACATTCATAAGTGGTTCACGCGTCGTGTCGAATGAAATCTCGCAATGAGTACGTGAACTATATCTAAATCAATTATTCCCTGGTGCAAAATCGTAGCCCGAATTGGAAATCTTACAACTTGCTTTGATCAATGACATCAACCCTATCCACTCATTCTATGATTCCATCATTGTTGCGGTTGAAATTCTGAACGTCAATGACACCCTGGACTCAGAATTTTATTGTTTGGGTCTGTGGGGTGAGTAATGTCTATTAATGTAGGAATGGAGATAATATACAGAAATTCTATTGGATGAGAATTATACATCCCAAGAAATGGGAATTGATGTACGAGTCATCAGATTATTCTGGACCCGTTGACCTGACAATATTATTCCTCTAAAAATCGAGTCGTCTGTTACTTTACAGAGCGAAAATAAAGTCAAGTCTGCCTTGATGAGAATCGTATGCAGTTTCGTAAACACTTAGGGGATAATATAACCTTACAATATAATTACGTTGATGAGTATGCAGACATTATAGTCGTGTATGCCCACGATGTATAGGAAAGGTATAGAAGCGCAGCGGCGGCTGAAGAACAAAGTACGCACCAATTCATCATGCAAGAAAGTAGAGTAAATAATTGAATGGACCTGAAACAGATGTGGCCTCTGCAGATGATGGCGAAGAGTCGAGAAAGCGTAGACTTTAGTATCACTCTCTCACGAAGAGCTGAGTTCCATATTTTCCGAAACTCCGACCTGCACTATGCTTGGTCTCCAAGCACGAGTACGTCGTCCATGGCTTTATGAGGGCTTTTTGAGGACAGTTTACGTGATCATAGTCTGGGTTTTGGAACTATGTGAAACCTATCATCGGCTTTACGTCACTTGGGTACTACTCCCTGGCTGAGCTCGAATACAATCGTATCTTTCTGAGTTACCTCCAGATAGATGTCACACTCATCACCCAAATCGTTAGATGTGATTGAACAGATCACATCTGATGTGTTCCATTCGGAAGACCCGGCCACTCACATATCGGCGACCTCTTCTGATTACTGTATACACTTTTGGCACCTTCTTCAAGGCACTAACATATCTCCGTGTCCTGTCCGTACCATGTATTGTCCTGCTTCAGTTGCCTCACCAAAGGAGGCACTGTCCGTAGCTTCCCACGCTTTAAAATGTAAAAGGCCAAAAGGGTTTACTCCTTCCAAAGCGAAAATGGGGATAAGAGGAGTTGTGGGGAGTGGCAATTAACGGCCCTCGGGTAATAAAAACCGTTTGTCGTGGTTATCGGGCCTTTCCATTTCGTAAGAACTTTAACGGAAAGTTTTAACCATAGTGTCCGGGGGGTTATAAATTTGACATACGTTGCATCCCAAGAAAGTTGGGACCTATGGTTAGCACGTACTTTGATGATAAGCCTGCAGATCCAAGACTTCAAGTAGGGCATGAGCATGTTCATTTACTTTCGTAGAAAGTTTCGTCCTTGTAGCTTCCAACAACATTATCTGTCACTGGGCATGAAGTCCGGCCCAGATCTTAAAATATTATAATCGAGCCGAGTTGGATATTCCTTACTTCACTGGTATGGCCGAATTTTGTGGCTCTTCATTGCACTATGTTCTGTTCCACTGTTTTCAGAGATGGGTACTTAGTGTTAAAACTACTACTGGACTTCGTGCAATCGCTCGCTGAATGGCACGCGTTCCTAACTAGCAGTCAGCCATGTGGCGAAGAGTCAGTTTGACCGTCTACGCTGCGGCTCAAACATCGAAAGCTAAATTTTCTAGGTAGAGTTTCCAGTGATAGCAGTATTATTTTCATTTGACTACCATGTTCCAACAGTGCTGATCTTTACATGAAGACGTTCATAACCTCCATAATCACAAGTTTTTACTGAGTCAATGAATTTGAAGGACGCAAGAAAATTTTGCAGTACATCTATGTTTCTGAGCTAAAATTATTTATGATTACATTTTAGTTTTCATAATTTTGTAAAAAAAATCTAATAGAACAAATGGAGATTTTTTTTATCAATTATGTGGAAAGTGCAACTATTTATCATAATTGTCATAAGTTTCCTCGATGCATGAGATCCAAAAAATAGAGGCGTATGCGTATATACGACGATTACGATATTCTAAGTTTTAAATTTTAAGTCAATCTAAGTCCTATAAGTCAGTAAAAAGATGTTTGTAAGCTACACATTTTCGCAAATAACTTCCAAACAATAAACATCAATAATTTGACGAAGAAATAAATATATATGGATTTTTTAGACAATCCTGTAATTTATTCATAATACACATAAAATATTTAAATTATTTAGAAATATTATTTTCATGTTTAAAGGATTGTATTATGATAATGATAAAATATTGAAATTTTCTTAAGTATTATATATATATATATATATATATACATACACAACATCATATATGTATGAAAGATCCGATATTGCACGATTGACTATTTATCTATTTTGATTTAAATTATATTTAAAATATTTAGGTGTTTATCTAAATTCTTATTCTACTCCTTTTAGCTTAAAATATAAGATATATCTGACATAATGTCTTTTGATAAAGACACGTATATTTTTCTTAAAGCTTCTTCAAAATCAAATACTCGTTGGTAATTCCAGCATCATGATAATTTAAAATATTTCAAAAGATGTCATGAAAAAAATTATTACTGTAAATATTCGATGTGAACAATCTGATTTACAAAGTGCTCAAAGAGATATTTCAAAGAAAACGAATCTTATGTTAGAAAACTAAGTCAAAAAATATTGATTTGCTTGTGGGAAAATGTAATTAAATTCAATGGATAAAGATTTATATATTAATTTACATCAACAATACCAATGTACTAGACAGCTTGATATTTTTTCTATAAAAAAAAAGTCATATCTAACCTTTGATTTTATGTAATCATATTACTCAATGTTTTCTTGCTATAATTTTTTATCATCGGAGTTTAGTTGCTTGAAAAGACTCAATTGTCACAAATACATCTTTTTTAAAATATTGCAGTATAACTTCTGTATTTCGATTATTTGAATCACGTCTAAATATTTGATATACCCAATAAAAAAATTTATCATAATAAAGTAAACATTCTGTTCTCACATGTTATTTTCAACGTTGATAAAAATGACCTTCAAATCGAAATATGTATTATTATTATTATTTAACCATTATATTTATGCCACTGCAAATTTGATATCAGCTTATTGAATAGTATTTCAAGAATATAAGCACTTCAAACAAGTATAAGACCGAAAAAAAATATGCTACAAATTCCATAGATGCCTTCTATGTCTTACAAATGTAACAAAATACTTGCATAGTTTTACAAAATAACTGATTGATTTTATAAAAAAAAATACTTTTATTTCGATGTGGATTTAAAAAAACCAATTAATTTATTATTTATGAATTAGATTAATTACTACTTTCTAAATATATTTTTAAGTCTTTCTGTAAAAAAAGTTATAGCAGAAACTTTAGTTACTTTTTTTCACCTGTTTTATATTGTTTTGTATTTCACAGCAACGAATATAGTTTTTGACGTTTTGACGTTCATACTCTATCAAGTTTCACCTTAATACGTTCAACTATCAATTTTATGCATTTACTCATGGGTTTTTGAAATTACATCTTAAAGGAGAAATCCACGAGACTAATTTGCATTCACTCATGTCAATTTACTGATCCCACTTTGTAATTAAACGTAAGATATTTCATTGGCGATCAATTTCACGATTCCTCGACTTCAAACAAATAAGGATTGTTGCCTTGAGTTTAATCATGAGTGTGAAATTTTAATATCATGGCGTCAATTGTGAAGCTTTAGTTTTGCAGTGGACAATCTCAGCTTCAAGTTGGCAAATGTTGAAACTTATTGGGGCAACTGCACCGGTATCGCTCGGGGTTGATCACGGGATTGTAAGAAGTGGCATGCCAACCCTGTCAATCGAAACGAAAGGATTTGATTCTCTAATTTTCCTACTCCTTGACGGTTAGATATATCGCGGGTTCTAAAATCAATAGAAACCATTCAGATCAGTGACTAAAGTAAGGTCTGGCCCGAAAGTCCCTCACGGAAGACATACCTCTCTTAAGACTGATGTTGCCGTTCTGCCACGTGTTATCTTTAAATTTGATATAATTCGGCCCAGTTCTGTTCACTACTGATGAGTAGCACATAGATAAAATTCAACTCCGTGCACCGAAAGACGTTAATACAACATACCTCGTTTGGTGGTCCGATTGAGGATGAGAAATAAATCTTGAGAAAACAATCTGAATCATCAAAACAACCGGATGACGTTGTACAAAATTCTTATTCCTGGGAGTGAAACATTCCCTTCAGCTTCGTGTACTATTGTTCCATCTGCTTCTTCTTACCCTCTCGAAGCGTCTCGTTTGCCGATGGTAGCTCGGTGTCATTCAAAGATCGGGATTACGCCTTCAATTCTCCCCTTTTATCAGAAGCACTATTAGGATTGTAAATTGTGTAGTATGAAGTTCTTTCTCCATTCAATATATGCCAAGCTATGTCAAGTGTAGACTTGGAAAAGGAAGCCCAGAAAGATCAGGGTGTAAAGGATTCTAAGCTTCAATATAAAAAAGACCAGAAATGCAGATTACTTGATACTGGAAGTTGATTATACACAGTGTAAAACTCAAGAAATACCAGTTTAACACCACCTGCTTTGGAAACAAACGCAACCTCACCTTAAGAAAAAAGAATTTGAATATCCTTCTCGAGAAGGTACTGATGAGAAAACCTAGTGCATAGTTGAGGGGACGATTTTCTTTCACCCCTTAGCAACTTTTTGAACAATGAAGACCTCAAGGGGTGAAGACTATATATGTTAGATCAGAACCTCGTCGTCAATGAACAGTGGAGTCTATGTATGTAGCTTTATTTGTTGAAATTTGCGCATTAATAGAATTTCTCATAGAAACAAGACTGCGCTGATCATCATCAGTTGTTTGGTGATCAGCTTTTGTGCGAGGTCAATGGTTGGATTAAATAAACTACAGGTTACAGACTACAATGATTGATCAAGCATTTGCGGAAAGATGGCCGATCGATTATTCCTTGACTTTGTACCGGAAGTTCGACTACCTAGCAGTCAAAATAGTGACGAGATAGAACCCAGCTACTGCTTTCAACAAGACAGGTTATACCGTCTGCTTAATACATCATTTTACAAAGATAAGGGAAAGGAACACGAATCTAGTATGCTGTCACAAACCAGCAGCTGAGCTCAGCGGTCAAATCAATGAGTCGACAGATTTGTCCGAGTCTTCAGACAAGTCTCTTATCTACTTCCAATCGCGACACTCAATCTCTCGATCTGGCAACACAGCAAGGAAAGAGAGTGTCAGAACTCGTGTGTGTCGTATGTTTTAACAAAATGAGTATGCTGGCTTGCATTTTAGTGTCATGGTACCTTAAACTCATGACCCATGGTTACTTGTATACCCTCGAAATTAACAATCGCCCATGTGATGACGCTATAACTATACAATACATCATGGACAGCGAAATAAGGACAAACCTTTTACTGAACCCTACACCTTGTATAATGCGCTCCAGCGTCTGATTACTGTCTTGCGGACCCGATATTCACCAGGGATGCAATCCGCCAAAATACATCTGTCAAAGTAAAGCTGGTTCTTCAATTTAGAGTTGTGGAAGGTCAAAATTCAAGGCACTCACCTGCCCAACAAGCATCGTAATCTGCTCTCTATACATCTGCTTGACGTCTGCCAAGTCTGCTTTGAGCTCCTCGACCTTACAGGAAAAGACCACATCTCCGTCAGTGATTACATACATTGAGGTTGAGGCTTACAATGGTCGATGACTTTAAGTACTTAACTCGCTAATTATACAAATGGGATTACATATTCATAACATTCTACATGTTTTAGAATAAAGTCACGTGCATGCAAATCCAATGCACTATTGCACTTCAAGTTAGACATCTCAGAACTTAAGTGATTCCGAGAGAATCAGAAGCCAACCTCTTCATCACGTTCACCCATAAGCTCCAAGGCAGACGTATGACGCCGTCGCAAAGAGTCCAACTCAGCTCGTAGTCCGGGTAACAGATTGGCTTCGGAACGATACATTTCATTCTGCCGAAGTTCAAGACGATCACACCCAAACATACACAATCTTCATTATCTGGAAATCTAAAATCTCATGTAACTTTATCATCAAATCAGTGTACTACAAATGCATTCTTCCGACAAAAAATCACTCCAGTGTACATACTAACAAATTACGATAGGATATTTTAAAACAGAATATGCAAAATGATTTCAATAGCGGCAGATATGAGGACCTGAGTCGTAGCCTTCACAAGTTCTTCTGCCAACGAATCTCGAGTAGATTCTAATGCGGCCTGCAAGAAACCATGCAAAGAACAGAGCCGAAGAAAAAGAATTATTCAATGAAATGACATGTCCTGCAAATTGGATAAGCCATAAAATGACATCCGCAAACACACCTTTCCATTCAAGAATCTCCGTAATAATAAGAAAATCTAAAATGCATAAAAGTCAAGCGAAGGCAACTTAGATAAAGACAGTGATCAAAATAACTTACAGAAAGGTCCTCTCAAGGCAATTCATAATATTCATCAAAACATCATCTAATTGAAAGGCAATCCTTACCAAGCGTGCAAAGCAAGAACTTAGCTCGCCTTCTTTCTGGCGAAGTTGCCCTTCAAGTTGCTCAAGCGATGACGTGCCTAGACCTAGAGTCATCCCCATACCCCTCGTATACGGGGATGGCGGCCTCTCACTAAAACTAAGCCTCTCCACCGATGGGCCTGTATCCACTGAAGCTTGCAAAAAGAAGCTTTCTTCCATGCTCCCTGCACTACTAACACTTGGCATTCGCTTGTGGTTCTTAACGGTAGAACCTGCCAGAAAAATCAGGTGATTAGATATTTCATACGTGTCTATCTCACTGGAGAAGACATGCCAATAAAATAGAGAAGATTGGCGTGCAGTTAACCTTACTGAATTCTGTCTGAGACATTGTCAGCATATTTGAATTAGGAGTAGACTTTTCTGGTGTCTTGTCAGCACCGGTGCGGCCATCGGCACGAAGGCGTTTTTCATATTCCGCAGTAACCGCTCTCTCTTGTTCAACTTCCTGCATGTGTTAAAATTTCATCAAATTGGACTTATTGGTATTTGCCTGTAACAGCTCAACTATGTAGAAAAAGCCGAATTCCAGTTGAGAAGAACTCAGCTGCAAGGTATCGACTAAAAATAACAAAAATTAGGGACAGCTAAGCTTGTGAAAACGAACCTGCTCCAAGGCCAGACGACGAGTCCGCTCTTCTTTCAAATCCTGTTTATGTCTGGCTCTCAAACTTTCAATTGCTTCCTCCAATTGCTTGGCACGGCCCTCATGAGTAGCAGCCCTCTCTGTTGCTACCAGAAACTCTTGTCTAGATTCGGAGGCTCTTTGTCTTTCTTTCTCTAAAGAACGTGTGAGTTGGCTTTGCTCAGCTCTTAGACAGGATAACTGGACACACAATGGTACAACCCAAAAGATGAGTGTTTGAAATTTGGAATGTACAACTTGTCTAACAGATACAGAATGAAGTTATTGTATCAAGATATCGATCAAAATATGTCGAATGTCCTAACCTGGGCTTCCATTACAGCCATTCTTGAAAGAGTTTGGGACAAGCGTTCGTTGATAGCTCGCTCCCTCTCTTGAGCTCCAGCCGCTTTAGCTTCTGCTTCCTGTAACCTCGAGTTCAGAGATCTCTCAACACCTGCCCATACTTCTGCTCTCATAGCTGCTGCCTCCTGCATAACATAGGCGTGATGTTGGGTACCAATAGTGTCATGGCCAGTACAAGAGCGTGATAATGTAAATCGTATAGACCAACGCAGAGACATGTCTCTTATCACATCTAGATAAAGAGAAGCTGATTACAGATTGCAAGGTTCGATAGCAATGTGTTTTGCGTCTGGTTCAACCCATAATAATCAATGACATCATGGAGCCTACTGATTGCGTCTGGACAAGCCCCTAAAACTACTCCATACTTACTGAAAGGAGTATACTCTTTGATGCTACTCCAGGATTCCGCAATAACAAGACCACTTAGACAGACCGCTCAGAAGAACAACATAAATTAAGTGTACACATTCAAATGTTCTTGTCATAGTGTGAACACATATTGGAAAAACAGACACATTATAAAAGTGTATAATACCCATCTCATAAACGGAGAAAAGAAAGAGCGTCACCTCTAAGCCTTCGATTTGTCGCAAAAGAGGTCGAGTGGAGTCTGGCATATTAGCGAGTAGCTCATCATAACGAGCCTCTGCTGCCTGTACAATCCCAAACGAAATTAGATTCCCCACTTCTAGTAGAGACATGTAGAGATGCCACATATGGAGATTGATAAGACGAGTACCTGACAGCGTCTCTCGAGGTCTTCAAGATCCCTCCTCAACATGTCTTCCCGATAAGCTGCCTGTAAGATACAAACTATGATCTCAGATTCACGCTCTTGACTACAAAGTGACTTTTTCTATGAAGTAGTTCCAAACATATTTCAGAAATCTCGAGTCTTTGAGCAGTGACATGAAAAACTTTCAATGGATCTCTTTTTTTTGCCCCAAGTTGATGATCAATTAACCGCCTCTCTATACGCAGTCCGAAAGTATCAATGCAATCGATTCATGATCATCACAAGCGAAAATACGCGCAAAATTACCTGCTGCTCGGTTGCACTAAGTGCCTGTCTAAGCTCATCTAGAGATTGTAGAAGCGCAGTCTCACGGTCTGCAGACTCTCGACAGCGCCGCTCAAGATCTGCCTTGGCTTCGCTATCAGCACGTGCTTCAGCTTGCGCTTCAGCATCTTTGGCCTCGTTCAGAGCATTTGTATAATACTCTCTAACTGCTGCAAGCTCTGTTTGTCCCCTCTCGACTGCATCTTGTAGGGCTTTCTCGGTCATAACCTTATCTTTTCGCATACTTTCCACCTTGCCTTCCTCCACCTGTCTCAATGACAATATATTCATCCGTCTGTAACTCTTTCGAACTACATTGGACACTTTTGGGCCCTCATAAACTGATGCATTATACAAGAGGTTACATAAGACGAATCAATTCCATATTAACAGCTTCTTATTCGCGATCCGGAATAGAACCTAGCTATATAATACAGAAAGTGATAAACACATACTTGAAGTTTTGAGTTCAGTCGTTGTTTTTCCTCCTCCAGCTCACGAATCTAAAAGATACATATAATCAGTGGATCCAAGTTAAATCTCACTTGCTAGATGTATTGAGGGAAAGAAAAAAAAGGGTCTCTTCCTGAGTCTCAGTGGAATGGAGATTCCATGCAAGATCTTATGAAGGGCATGCAAACATGTGGTAAATTTCTAACATAAAGTGCACTTGACATAACTTTCCTATGACAGCTGCAAGACCCAAAAAATGGTGTCATGGTTGAACGGTTCTAGCCGTACTAGATGAAGCCATGAAGAAGTCAGGTGGGATTCATAACTAAGATAAAGAAAGAACATTACTTCAGAAAGAAGACAGGTCTCTCACTATTAGACATTAAATGAACTCACTGCTGCTTGCCTGTGATAGCTTGAATACCATAGATCCGGGCCCTATCTAATCGGTTCTAAGTATTCAAAATACAGACAACACCATGAATTCACGATGCCTTCAGCTAAGCAGCTGCATACCTGAGCTCTCAGTTTCTTCATGATTCCCTCTTGAACTGCCTGTTTTTTAGAAAGTTCTTCGCCTGTTCATTGCCGGCAGTAAATATATCAGTACTGCAGTACTAGCCTCCTACTATTGACCTAAATGCTCGTGAAAAAATACATCATGTTTACCTTCAGCCATGACTTGTTTGATGATTTCATCCTTTTCTTTCAGAAGTATAGAGGAATCATTCTTTCGACTTTGCTCCCTTCTCAGCATATCTCTTTCTTTTGTCAGGGCATAAACCTGGAAGGATATAGCCATGTTAGATGGAAACCTACGTATCTCTTCTGGCAAAACTAATGAAGAATGATTATCGCTTAAGCTAATGATGCAATTAGAGTCCTGGTTATCAGCGCTGAGGCAGTCCTTGCATTTGAAAGGTGCAAAGGACATGTTAGGGGAGTATATTATATATTGATTACTTAGACATCTCTTCCTCTAGTAACAAGATTAACATACTTACTACTAATTTATTTGGAATTATTGTCGGTTCAATGCCATCTGAAATCCAGGCGATGCAACGCAGACTAACACAGTCAAGCTCGTAGATAAGCTTCAGCACCTCTTCAAATTACCTTCCTTTCGGCAGCTCCTATGCGTTGCTGAAATTCTTCTCGAAGTGCGTCTAGCTCCATGTCGTTTGACTTATTCTGGATACAGAATGAGAAAGCACAGTCACTATAGTCACATCTAGGTGTTTGTACAGATATTAACCTCTTGACAATAGATCGATAGTTCTACATGTATAACATCAACTTCAGTACTCATAAAAGTATCAAGACCACAACACAACCTTTTAATCCAAAAAGTAGCCCCTAAATGCCACAAACAGTAGCCAGGAGTTCTTGTCTCCTGAAAAAGGGAATGTTGTTTAACTTGTCACACTTTTCATCTTGAATGGATTGGTAAGCCACGATCGTCCTTCCATGCATATGAGACGCTTAATTTTAATTAAGCGTCATTAAGCAATACAAGGAGATAACGCTAACTGAGGAGTACCAAGGTTCGTACGGGCCTGGGAAGTACAACACTTTACCTTATATGCATCAACGTCAGCTTTTAACTTCTCGTTTTCGCCCATCAATCTCGAAATCTCGTCTGCTTTCATCTACACCAGGTGAAAAAAACTGCTGTTAGCGTAGTTCATAGATACTAAAGCACTGTCATACATCCACAGTTTCTTGGTTCTTGGTCATAGATACAAGGCATAGCATTTCCCTTTCGTTCCAGTGGATTCTCAATGCAGAACAAGCAAGAACCAAGAAACTGTGGTCCTGTAGAAACAAGAAGGTGGAACAAAGATTGTCAATTGTCCATTAAAGTGAAGGAACAAGACAAAATAAAATATTAATCTACAGATAATGTAGCAACAATGAGAGATAGTGTCATATAAGAAGAAAAGGCAAACCTGTGCTTGCTTTGCAGCTCCCTGTAATGCTGCCTCCATCATTTTCAGCTCTGCCTTTAGTTTATTCTCCTCAACGTTGCTTTTCTCAGAGACCATGGTTCCATCCACCAGAGCTTCTCCAGCCTTCGAAACCTCTTCTTTTGATTCTATTACGTGGTTCGTTGACTCACTTCTCTCATCCGGAAAAATGTCGAGCTTTTTACTTCCAGCACTATTCGCACTGTCGACCTTAGCAACAGCAGGACTCGTCACTGTAAAACGTGTTTCCTCAACATCCTTGGAAGTTTCCCTCGCACCTCTGTTTGTAGAGTCTGCACTTTGTAAGGAATCTACAGCATCGGTTTGTCCAACAGAATTTTTCTTTTCGCTTGTACTTGTCACTTCCTTTTGCTCTTTCGGCCGGACGTCAATGATTTCTATATTAGAGCTGATGCTCTTCACGTCATCTGCATTCCCCTCTGGCAATGAGTCTAGAAGCTGCTCTGAGACAACTGGTTCTCCTTCACTTTGTCTTGAGTCTGTTGCTACATTGGACTTATCTCCGCTTTGAGAAATCACCTTCTCAGACAGCTCGCTGTTGATATCCGCACCAGGGACTTGAACACTTTCTCCGGACTCTTCTGTTCCCGACTTTTCCTCTGCCTTCGTTGAGACCGGTTCTTCCTGCACATGCTGGATAGCAGGAGGTTCGATCTTCTCGGGAACGTCCACATTTGGCTTATCAGCTTGGTGCTTCACTGCAATCTCAGGACTGGATACACCTTGAACATTTTCATTTTCCGAAGCAACCTTCGGATGTTTTGCAGGAGAAGCTGGAAGCTCAACTGGTTGTACTCTTGTCTCAGAGGGCGAGGGTACTGGATAGTAAAGAAAGCCAGACAATTAAAACAAAATTAGCCCGGAAGGACACACCCGGTTCGATACTAGAGCTTCTTCTCTCAACTTTGCAAACGAGTTGTGATGCAGCCACCCTATCTGATATTTGATTGGATAAGGAAGTTTATGACGAAACTTGACGAAAATCTTCCTCCTCTTGCACCTAGGAAGCATGAAGAAGGTTGCACCTGGAAGGATGACAACTGATAATGATGTTGATGATTGTAGGAAATTACCATCATTGGATCTGTCATCGAAGCCCAACGCGGAATCAAAGTTTCTCTCAATGTTCTTCACACTCTCACTAAGCTTAGATACGGCACCCGCCAAATCGCTCAGATTTCCAAGATTGGAGCTCAAATTTTGAAACTTCCCCAGCCACGCCATTGAGACGTCAACCTGTACGACAATATTGTATCTTGGGTAGGGAGGTGTCTGTAACCAAGACTTCTGAGAAATTAAGCTCCTGCTTTGATTCCCTTCCAACTATGCTCACTTTTGTAATTCATAGTTGGTCATCTGTAACAACTTATGCTCACTTGGACTTCACCACCACACGTCTCCCATGGAAATCAACAAGGGAGTATCAACAATGTTGTTCCTCGAATGCCTGCAAGCAGAAAATCACGTCCAGTATCTTAATAGCGCCTGCGTTTCTCTCAACAGAGCCCTCGATGACCTGTTGCCGGAATTGCTCTTGTGCAGGCTCTCTATAACTGATTCGGTATGGAAGTTTACCAAGAGACAGTAGCTCCTTTGGCACAAACATTTTACCGATTTGTTTAATAAAAGTAAAGTAGAGTCTGCAAAACATAGCCAATCAGTGGTTCAGCTAAAACGGGTATGTGACTCTACAAGGCAATGATGGCGAGTCTGTATCATGAAGACGACTCTAAAAAAAAAAAGCAAACTTGGACTTACTTTGAAGGTAAATTCCTACAATATTTCATTCATTTAACAAAAGCCCGGCCACTTTCGTTAAAGCTTGCTCTACATTTCCGCATCGACAGTATCACACACTCTGAGTCCAGCTTGCACAAGATACATGTAGCAAATATCAGGAATTTCTGGTGAGTGAGCTAACATCTAGACTAAAGATCTTCATATAAACTCTAAGCTCCGACGCGAAGGGAAAGTGGGGTAAATTTCGATGATTTGAGCCGCCATGAAGTGATCGTTGTGACTGACATATCTTTATTAACTAGTCAACAACAACATAAGAAGCGACATAAGGTTCCGAGCTAGCAGTCAGGCAAAGAGGAACTTATAAATCATCCTTTCATTGTGCTTACAATCAATTCATGTTTGAATAACCTTTCCGAGCTGGTTGAAAAGCGGACTAGGATATGCGCGTATAATCCAACACAAGCAACGATCAGCTGGTGCTTGGGCATCCTCCATCGCAAGTTCAATTGCTTGTTGTACTGGCTTGGAAGGTAATGAGCTATGTAGGGTATACAGGATTGGATCGGACTCTAGCGTATGCATTAAGCAAGAAAACTTTCAGAATATTATTGAACTGAAAACCTGAACCAAGGATTATACTCCGCTTTATAAAATTTCGAAATGGCGCGTATATCAATGATTACGCTTTTCGGAAAAAAAATCCACTGCAGAGTGACAGGTAGCGCAAGCACCTGAAAGGATCAAAATTCGCTTCTTACAACTGCGAGTGTCATTGGGTAGCAACGGTGCAGCTCAGATACAATGCCGTGCTATCACCGTCAATTTGGGACCAGCGACACAGAAAGATGCAAGAGTGAATGAAGGAACTCGCACACTCCTCACAAGCAACTGACAAACCGAACTCAAAAGAGAAAGTAACCAAAAAATTCCCAGAAATGTAAACCCAGACGAAGGCCTCCAGAAAAAAATTGAAAAAGAACTAGCAGACGCATATCTCGAGAAGGACGGATCCTCCGCAGCAGATCCAGGTTGAAAAATCAAGACGCTTCACAGTGATCCAGATCAAAAGTTCAATATTTTTCTCCAAATTGCCAATGCCAGCCTACGTGCAAACTTACCTACAGCACATACATTGGAAACCACCGTCGCGGCCCTTCGCCTCCAGAGCTACGTCAATCTTGTGCCCTCCCTCGCCCCCTCCATCCCTTCCGATTCTTCATTCTCACCTCACCGCTGTCTGCACTAGCTTTAATCTATCCGTCCCTTCTACCCAGCGACCAGCCAGCGATCGATCTGCGGGTCACTCTGATCGATCGAAGGATTGTTCTCCAAAGCATGAAATCAGTGAATGGAACTGAATTGGACCGAGCTTCTCTTCCGACGCACTACGCACTGACAGAAAGTCATTTCCTAGCTACTGTATTGAGATCACTTCGAACCAGCCCTACCACGTACACGACTGCCTTCACGTTACGCAGTTCACTGAGCCCTCGGCTTTTATTAATAAGCGGGGTCCAAGATATGTACCAAAAAGGATGGGAAGACCGGATCAACTAGTAATTCATTGGGCTAGTCACAATGGAGTCACACTGGTAAATATGTTCAAAGATATCTTTAATTCAAATATAATGTCTATACATTATTTCTGCTTCAACTCTATACACAATTCTAACCTCTCGTATCTCTAATTTTATTTTGAAGCAGCTGTGTTTTGCTCCCACTTCACACGATACACTTCCTCCATTCTCTCTTATTAGCGGTGAGCGCTATTTTGGTACGTTTCTTACTCTGTATTGTGGCCCGCCAACAATATATAGTACTGTAATCTTGGAAAAAAACTTAGATTAGGCGGAGTTATAAGACAGTGAAGTTGACTCCCGTTTGAAGAAAGATTTTCTCCCATCTACAGCTGTGGCAAACGACATGACAAGACTCGGACAATGCCTACAGCTAAATCAGCACATGTCTCTGAATCATCCACAACACTGGGCGAAATGTGTCACTTAAAACACCACACACACCCTATAGATGAAACTAAAATAAGTTTCAGTTTGTGAACCTTTATGGAGTGTAATATCAAACTTTGCTACTCTTCCTCGATTGGAATTAGTTGCTGAATAATGATGAACTACATCGGACCAACCACAATTAAACACAAGCAACAATCTAAAAGATAGCAAATAGTATATTTTTGCTATAAATTTGGAGGAAACAATGAAACTATTTTCTATCAAAAATCTATTTATCTATTAAAAAATGTGTTCTGTTTTAAATGGATAAATGAAAAGGATTGGATGATCTCGTCAAGCCATGTAAGTAAGAAAGAAAAAGGGAAACGAAGTTCCATGGAAATATGTCTTACATCACCTTTTATGCTTAAATATATTGTTAGAATTGTCTACATCTAACTTGATTGCTTTGCTTTGTATAACACTAGCTAGTGCTCTTTGTAAAAAATTGATAAATGCTCTATATAAGACACTGCACACTATGATAAGTAATGTCATGTTCCAAGAACCAGGTTTCTATATATACATTTAATTTGCAATCTAGAGATACAACAGGTAATTTCATGCAAATCCATGTAGTTGAGTATCTTGATTTCTGTCCTTTTGCTCTAACAAAAAACGAAATTATAATTTTCTCTACATTGTGTCACGTACATTAACAATCGTCATCAACGTCTAAGCCCAACTTGATACTATGGAATTATATAACACATAAAACAATGAAGAACAAGTTATGGAATCAACTCTTTTTACAACAGATCTCCAAATCAAAGATTCAAGTATCATAAATACAAGATATGTTTTTAACTTATGATTATATTATTAAATTTGTATTAAATTCTTCAATCACATCAATTTAAACTTTATATTAGAAAATTAAGTTAAGCAGTGGATATATTTACATGTATTTTGTATAAGTGATAAAGCTGTTTTAATTCAAAAATAAAACTCAGATTATTGTGATACATTTCATGAATTTTATCGTTCATGATATTTTTCATAAACATTTATTTCATTAGGTCAAATAAAACTTGATTTTGGAAATATAATAAGAATAATAAGACTATATAATCAAAATTGTACAAAGGTTTTGTTTTCAGGCTTAATGGAAAAAAATCCATCAATGTAGAAAATCAATTCCAAAATTTGATTCTGAAGTAATATAAAATAAAATAAAATAATCTGACTTTTGACTTACATCCTTTTAATTGAGATAATTTATAATTTACTAGATATATGTAATATTTTAACATTTTAAAAACTTTAATGTGTTAATATACATTTCATATAAATTCAATAATTTTATGATTATATTTTAAAAATATAAATTATATTCTGAGTTTTACATTTCTTATAATACAACTTTTATAATTAGATCCATATAATAGTGATTTGTGACATGATTAGATGCATAAATCACTTTGATAAAAAAGTTTTAAGTTTTAAAACTTCATTCACAAAGTACACCCAAAAATATTCAAACATATCAAATTAAAAAAATATCAAACATATATCGTGTGCAATCATGTCAGGCTAGATAGTTTTTAATTAGTTGTGAATAAAGATTATCAACTCATTTTCCATCACATAGTCTACTGAATTTTCACATCACATTTGTTAGCCTAAAGGATTTTGGCCCTTTCAATAAATTTGATGAGTGTCACTCTCAGTTTTTCACAAGATTTACAAGATTGGACATAAAATTCATATTTTAAAGTGTTGTTGAAAAAAAAGAGAAATAAATATTTTAACGGTATTAAGTGCATGATGATCAATACAATATTATTGTTAGGATTATATTAAAAAAACTATAAGGTATATTTTTTTTGATATAAAAATAAGTTCTTAATCTAAAGAAATATTGAATAAAATATTATTGTACATATTTTTTAAAATATTTGAATATTTTTCATTCTCTTAACAAAGTTTTGTTTTCACATGTTTTAACAATAAAATAATTTCTTTCCATAATTTTTTGCCTAAAATAAATATTTATTATTTATATTTCAAATATTTTCAATCAGAAGGAAATTTAAATCACGTATAAAAATCTAATCCTAATGGTTAACAATTTTTAACAGTTTAAAATTGGACTAATTTGGTTCACACAAATTTTAATAATAATAACATATCAATGGAATCACAATCTTTCAAATCCTTACATAAATTTGAGAGTTTTGGTATGCTTCATGTTGTATGAAAGATAGTTGCCATATATGAATATATGTTTTACAATTTTTTTAAAAAATGTATGTATTTCAGATTTCTTCATAAAAAATAATAGATGTGTTTTACATTCTATAATATGAGTTTATTGAACTGATTGGAAATATAAGTTTGATATTTGATGAGAAAAAAATACTTGATATTCTGAAATAGATATAATTTTTTTTGGATAAATGAGTTATTGTAGTATTTTGAAATTGAATCATATGATTAAAGAAACTAAACCGATAAATTGGTAACATGAGATTTTGTTGTTGTCAAGATTCACAAGAATCAACTTATAGCTTTTGCATCGATTGTCATATAGTTGAAAAAGTCATTTTCATATGAGCAATTGATACAAAATGTATCATACGTCACTTGTTTTAGTTGAATGAACCTGCAGACGAATCGACTCCTTTCTTTTCATTTTAAAATGTTTGCATTCCGGCTAGAGTACCTTCCTATTTTTTATCCACTCCGTTTTTGCGCTTGTAAGTTTTCTTTGTGTGGCATAATCAGAGATATCTGTGTTACCACTTGAGAATCGGGATTTTTAGGCCCAATCATCAACAAGCTAGGATAATCCCGTCAAATGTTACCTAAAAAACAGTGGCCACTAACCCAATTTCAATTTTTTTCCAAGTCTCAAACTCTCAGGAACCTGTGAGACACGCTGGATATAGGACGCGGTGCAAACTAAATATATAGCCGAAGACCAAAAGTAGCAGGGCAAATCTCACCATTTGTCTCAAAAAGAAAAAAAGAAAAAAAGTAGCAGGGCAAGAATCCATAGGGCAAAAGGTGGTGCCTATTCTAACGAAGACGTCAAAGTAGCTAATCTACGTTGTTTGGTGAAGGAAACGCCGGGGCTATAAATTTACGAAAGTTATCCGTAACCCACTATAAGCGATATCCTCATGAGAAGAAAAAATCCATCCTGCCTTTCAGCATCTCTACCGCACAGAACGCCAAATATTAATTCGAAGGATGCTTCACAAACATGATGATGAAAGTATTCTCATATAGCCTAATTCACGGTGATTACGGCAACAGAGGAGGCAATTGGACAAGCTCACCGCCAATGATGAGCATCGAATCGCAAGGGTTCCCGTTGTCCTACCAGGTCTTCTTCCACACAGTTGGTCGCTACGGTGCAACCGTAGTTGGGAAGGGGAAGGTGACCGGACCGACCGGGGTCGGATGATGGATTTATATGGCATGCAGAATCAAATGTCTGATGCGGATCGAGGACAAGGTTTCCGGACAAGAGGAAGGAGCAGAAATCGTACCGAAAGTTTGAGGACTTCCACCGTCCCTTGTGTCGTTCCGTCGCCGTAGTACGGAGCAGAAGAAGTGCCATGTGCTGCGCTGTGCATTCATTGGAAGGCATCCACCGCATTCATGAATGGAGGAGGGGAGGGGAGGGGAGGGGAAGGGGGAAGGGGGAAGGGAAGGGGAGGGAGGAAAGGAGGGACGGAAGGGATATTGATGCTGCAGTAGCAGGCCAGAGCTGGTCTGGGTCCAACTTTTTATTTTCGTTGGGGTGGGCCATGTGTGCGAGCAATTGGGCCCACTCGATGTCGGAAGACTGGAAACTCAGGCAAGGGAGGGGAGGACGCGGTGAGTGGCTATTTTGGAAATTCACAATTCGTCTAACTTACGAGCTGAAGTCACGCAGGTTCTCGGATAACGTGAAGCATTCAGTATAGTGGTTGCACACAGTTGAGTCTCCCTCCTGGCTAGCTTCTTCTGTTCTAGTTGGGGCTGGTAGTTTGTGGCTCACGAGTTCTCTGTGAACTGCTGTGTTGAAACTTTTGAGTATCAGCAATCTGTCCGAAATTCTGCAGTCACATTTTTGTCAAACCCTGAGTTTTGGAATTGCGTTTTAGACGAAGTTTTACAGGGGGAGATTGAAGTGCTCACGCACGCACTGAGGCGGCAAGCGGTGGAGACCGTTTTATCGTTTAATCTGTGGGCAGCTTTCCCGCTCCCTGAGAGTTTCCATCAATTTTCACAATAAAGGTGGGTGGTAGGAATTGTTTGGACTGGTTTGGCGAGCTTCCATTTCTCCGTTGGCCATAGAGAGTCCTAGAGCAGAGCGTGGAAGACGACTTCATATTTCATGTTGCTTGGTGATTGGCAAACTCTTAGTTCAGTTCATTTAGCCGGCTGTTCTGTAATTTTGAATCCTGTAATTATTTTTCCTGCGCATCCGATCGACATTGAGTTCAGAGTGAGAAGAGTGGTACCGGTGCTATAATTGAGACAGGTGGGGACGGGTAGCAAGGCAGTTTTCGTAGTGGTGATGTTGTTTATGCGTATTGTTTATGTCTGCTGGGTATCAGTTGGTCTGAGGAAGGTAGTCATTGTACTCGGAGTGTTTAAGGTCTTTGTACGCTATTTGTTACACTGTAAGAAAGAGTTTTAGCGAACAGTGTTCACGTCCTCTTCCGTGTGTCTTCGTGTATGTGCTCCGTTTCATGATTCTTTCTGAGTGCACTAGCTTGCAAGTAAGAGAGATCACTGTCGAAAATAGATTTTACAAAGAGTTTTACAGATATTGAGCCTGTAAAGAAAAAAATAATATGAGGCTGTAACGCTCTTTCCCAAGCGACTGGTTCAGGCTTTAAAGTTGTGGAATGTAAACCACGTATGAATTTTACTTATTCCACTTGCATAGGAAGTGTATGCTAGTGGTGCTTTAGCTGCTTTACTACGAATATTGTAGTACAGAAATCAATGAAGCAAGTACCATGAAGATTTGTTCGAAGAAGCCAGCTTCTTTGATGAGACGGAATATGTTGAGCAATTTGAACATGTAATTATTATAGATATAGGGATATTGTGGCAAATAATATTGAATACACAGTATAAATGTGATAGCTTTTCAGCCTGAGATATAATGAATCACTAATTTCTGTTTTGTTGTTTCAATCAAAACTTAGGTCAGGTGGAGGACCTGTTTGAGCAGGTGCATTTGGAGTTTTTACCGCAACTATAGTAGCTTTTCATATTAGCATAGGAGCTTCCTTTGATCTGGTCTAATCACACAATTGAAGGTGTGAGGGCTTAGTGATGGACCGGGAACGGGAGAGAGACAAAATGAATGCTCATATGCAAGAACTACGTCAATCAGGACTCTCTCTGAGCATGTATCCAGGTCCTTCAGACAACCGCAAGAAAGAGGATAATAGATTTTCTGACGGAGGAATGTTCAGCCTGGGCAGTACATTGATAAAAAATAGGTCGGGCGATGGAAAGCTTGTACAATTTGGAGAAACAGGTGATATGACATTGTCCGAGAAGAATCTAAGGATGGGTTCAGAGGCCCCTTCTGGTGTCGAAGAACGAAGATTAACAGCAAACAGCAACCTTCATCTTGACTCCAGGTAAATATATGCCATTCTGTTTTAGTTTGAAGCCGCTGTAATCCTTAATTAATCGTATACTTACCTTGCCAAAAATAAAAATTTGGAAATTGTAAATGCCTCTTGAAATTCATCTGTGGATCTGTCGCAACTTCCTTATTCCAGTTTCGGTCCAACAACGTCAGTTTTCCCAGCAGATGCTAATTAGACTGAATGAATGCACTTTTTGTGGTTTTTTTTTTCTGCTAGCTTGTGGGTATGAAGTTCTAACATGCTACACAGTATTCCACCCCTTCTATTTCTCCACAATTAGTTGGAACGATAACTCTATAAGAGATTCCTTTAAATAGGTTGAACTTGCTGTCGCAAAATACTTCCTTCAGTATTCTCCCATTTATCCACTTCTGTGCAATGTGGTCATCCAGTGACACCTATTATGTCACACTTTTTGCACCTTAGATCCTTTCGTCCCGTGCTGTCGTTTTACGTCTGTTCATCCCCACAGTTTTTCCTTTCCAACTGCGTGCCACTGTCTTGGATGCAGTGCGTGAATCGGAGTAACGTCTCGTGTAAGGAGGCGGCTGGCGGTCATTTCCCCAAATATATCATCTTATAGTTTTGAAGTTCATCTAAATTTTCTGCAACGTTTTCAGGTTGACCGTCGTTAGCTGCTGTCACATGTTTTCTCCACCTTGCAACTTTGTACCACAAAGTCAAGTAGCAGCAGTTGGTCTGCTACTGATGAATCCTTACCTTATTTATTAATTAATTCATTTAACAGTGAATTCGAGATGTTGATGTTTCAAGACTTACCTGACGGAACGTAGTGGACATACAGTAATGTAATGTCTGATGACTTTCATGTCAATTTATTACCAGACTGGTTCAGGTATATCTAAATTCTCATGTTCTATTCTAGAACATGGGAATGGGTGATGAAGACGTAGGGATAATAAACTTGGAATTTTGAACATAATTTTACAGGGTGGAAGCAGTCCATTCGTTGACACCTATGGGTCTTCTATCGGATTCTACATCGCCTCCTCATCAACCTTCAAATGCACAAACTCCACCTTTGTATAGGCAAGGAATTCCTCCACAAAGAGGTTCTCCACCTTCAGGAGGGATTATAGCGGGTGCTCATGTGAACGAAGGGCAAAAAACTTTCGCAAAGGAACCTCATTCACTCCACATGGCGATGGATCCTTCCAAAAGGTCGATGACTGTGCATGGACCCCCTGTTGATCATCAACAAATTTCGAAGGCCGGTCAACGACGTCGGACTCCTAATACAAGGGAGACCAAGGGGATGGTATCTGCCGGAAGTGCCCCTCAGCAAGTTTTTCATCAACATGCCCTTCAGCAACTCCATCAACAGGTAATCAAAATTGGTGAAAATTGATGCATCGAAGAAACCAGTTCAGAAGTGTATTTAAATTTATATTGAGTATGTTTTCCTGCAAATTTGAGAGAAACCAGCATTCTAGTATTTTTGTATTTATATTTAAAGTATATCTTCCTGCGAAAGTCGGATTGCTTTTCTGTTTATTTATTCTGCCCATGTGCTGACACCAAGTTTAAGAGTTGCAGCAACATGGTATTCAGCACGTTTTGTATCACCATCCAAGTCAGCATTCACAAGAAAGTTTCTACCTGCAAGGCCAATACAATGGTGCTGCTCAAAACGCACAACTTCAGACTATGCAACAATTCAACTCTTCTCAACATCATGCGATGCCTCAGCCCCAAGGCCTTTTTATGTCTAATCACTCTTTGAAGGTCGAACCGGTTGAACTTGAGCGTAGCGCCTCAGTAGATAGAGTGCAACTTGAGAAGGTTTCCTCTATTGACAGATCTTCACCACCTGACTCTCTTTCTCCCAAAGAAAGTGTATCTGTAGCCGAAACCAGAGGGGTAGGGGATGCGGATTTGAAGAAGATGAATACAGATGAGAGCAAACCTTCAGTCTCTCTAGGTTCGGCAGCAGAGTCAAAAGATTCTGTGCGATCTGGTATACGTAGAGATGGAGGGGACAGGGAGAGTCTGCATCCTCAAAGCCAGTCATCCGGAAGAACTTCCAGGGAGAATATGTTTGCAGATTTAAATGCAGAGCCTCCTGCTAGTGATGGAGAAGATGAATGCCTTCTCCGAATTGACGACGCGACGACTATTGCCCAACCCGAATCAAGTCGGTACGTTACTTGACTGCATCCACAGTAAGATCAAGTCTCGTTTGGAATATCCTGGAAAGTAGCGTCTGTGAAGCGAAGGTACTTTCAGGAGTGAAGCCAGGATCCAGGAGTTTTAGGGTTTATGGTTAATGATTCAATTCGTACTGGCCCATTCCATTTGTTATCTATTTTAAGTCGTTGTGATAGTTTTTCTGCTAATATTCAAAAAGACTTTCAATCTTCCTCTTCTAGCTGTGTCTGAGCTAGACCTCCACTGTCGTGTGCTATAGAACCACAACGGAAGAAAAGAGGAAGAGGAAAAAGACAATCAAGGATCCAAAAATTTTGAAAGAAGGAGAAGAAGTGGACAACAAGAAAGCTATCAAGGTTGTGAAATCACGTGCGAAACCAAAGGTGGAAGTAGTGATGGATGGAATTGAAGGCGATGGAGACAATCATCTTGTAGGCGTGCTAACAACGAAAGATGATAAACTCAAAAGTCTGAAAGATGTAAGCATTCTCATCTCTGTAGTGAAGCTATGCGTTATCTGATTTAGGAAATTACAAGTTATCATCTGAATGTTGCCGAGATTTACTTTTGCACATAATCGACGTAGTCGAAATCGATGACATAATCGGTTTTCATATATTGTTTTTCATTGTGTGTTCATCATCAAGGACTGAAGGATTAGATAAGTACTCAACGGTAAGAGAAAGCTTGGATGGAACATTTTGCTACTCAATTTTCGTTGATTTATACGTATAAGTTCCATTCGAAATGCAGTTCTTTGAGTTCTGGTTAGAAATAGGGACATCATTATGTCGGGGTAATGATGCAATATCATTGTGCAATGGAACGATCGCCCACCTGAGGTTATTGGATCGATATGTTGATGCGCAACGAGAACTGATCAGTATCAATACTGCTCCTTCTCTATGTTTGATTGTTTTCCTTTTTATTCTTGTGAATTTCATAACAATTTGTGTACCTCAATCGATGTCTTCTTTAAGGCCGCATTGCTATCAAGTTTTCCTGAGTTCTCCTATGGCTTCTGCATCTCATACTCATCGCCTTAGCACCTTCCGTGTCCTCATTATGTTCTTCCAATAGTCTTCGATTCCTCATTATTACATGCTCTCCTGTTGAGGTTTAAAATTTTGACTAACCTGTTGATCAATAACTGCCATCAATGTTTTTATTCTTGTTACCCTTGCCCCTGGCGAACTTGGGTACCTAGTCTTTGACTGTTCAAGTTGTGAATTTGTTCATTTATATCCAGGACTAAAAATCTATAACTGTACCACAGTTCCTTGAACTTTCTTTGTTCTTCATTGTTTCTGTTTGAGAAAATCTTTTTCATTGATTCCGTGGATTCGGTTGACTATTCGTGAGATCAGATAATATATCGTAATGCACTTCTGTCTTTTTTGTTACCACCTCTGGAAGTGAGAGCATAACAGCAACCATTGTTAGTGGAACCTTTTAAGGCATACAAATGTTCAGCTTTAGGTGTGGGATTTACCCTTGCCATGTTCAAGCACATCTGGACAACTGTATATTGTATTAGGAGTGGTACTAGCTCTTGACGAAATAGGTGGACACCATGGTGATGATGAACTGGTGGTGTTTCTTGCAGCATTAGATTGTTGTTCTGTTTACTTTGTTCTGGTATTCGTCTTTGAAAATTTGAATGGTAATCTGATAACTAAGCACATACATTTTATATGTCCATTCTTGCTTTATTGTTGCCTTCTACAGGGTACCGTGGTCTTTTCATACGTTGTGGTTTGAGTTCCGAATGCCTATTCGACTGTAGTCTCTCATTACGTCTGTCGGTGGAGTTACTTGTACGTACTCTTTGGACTTGGCCGCAAATCTATAAGTGGAGATGAACGAATAAAAAATATATTTCACTCTCTGCTCTATTACCACTTTGAGTTTGGGATCATGAGAGCAATCGTTGCTAATGCCTATGTTCATCTTAGTCACTTTGACTGACGTGAGCATATGCGTTTCTTCTTTTACCTTCTATTTATCCTTCGTTTATCATATCTGCAGGGTCTGGTTTGTGTTACGAGGAAGCAGCCCAAGAACGCAAATGCCCATTTTACACTCGGGCTTTTGTATCAACGTTCAGGACATTTTGCCAAGGTGAAATTTTCAATAAGTCACTGAGAAACTAGTCAACTTGAAGAAGCAATCATGTGATGTAATATTACAATGAGATGTATTGCGGTCATGTGGGATAGTGTCTCATATTCTTCGTGTTTTCTTATGCGCATATGTACGTAGACACGCCTATCTTAAAACAAAAAGGGTGCATGAATTTGGCTGAATCTGCTGCACATAGTTCGACAATGTTACATAACGCTGATGATCAGTCATTCTGAGATTCCAAAAGAAAGCACTTCAAAGGGCTGTTGTTGTCTTGTTGTGCCTTCTTCCTCCCACTGTTTGATCAAGCTCGTCCAATATGCTTATGTACATGTGAGTAGGCTGGATTATGTTACACTCAAGCTATAGAAGCCTTGAAGCAATCTGAGGTGGACTCGAATGCTCCAAGACCGCAATTGATGGCCACGATACAGGTTCATCACGCACAGGTATCCACACTTTAGTCTCTTCAGTGCAAGAGGCTGGATGTGCAGGAATACATATTGATCTTGTCAAATATAATAGCCCTACACTCTTTTATATGTGCCAAGTTATCTGCTGAATTATTCAAGGAATTGTTACATGTCATTTATTAAAGCTTTTGGGTTGGTGCATTTAGAAGAAGTGGATTTTCACGAAACATTTGTCCTTCCTTTGACAGTGTCTTTTGGAAGAGCTTTTTGGAGTCGAGGGTGAACCCGAAAAAGGTTTAACAGATGATGCTCTGGAGAAGCTTGTTCTCAAGCTGAAAGTAGCTACGCTCATGGACATTGGTCAAGCAGCTGTCTGGAGTACTCTTGGACTCCTACTACTACGAGCAGGGAAAGACAAAGTACATAAAAGCTCTGGTTGCTGTTTACCCTTTACTTGACATGTTGATTAGCTACTTTGCAATTTGTACAAGCAGTCACATAGAATGTTTGCTTTGGTATAGGCCCTGATTCTTTCTCGCAACCAATGGAACTTTGAATTGCATAAGTGGACGCTATGACTGCTATCTTAATGAGCCTAGGGGCATCTCTACCTGCTTTTTGTTGTTGACAGAGCGCAATACAAATCTTGACCTCACTGTTAGAAGTCGTCCCAGATCATTTGGACGCTCTCAACAATCTAGGCGTTTCTTATCTCCACAGGTTTGTCTTTAGGTCGTATATTTCGCAAGTAGTCCAAAGCAAGACCTGTCAATACCTTTTCCGGCCTTGGATGTGTTGAGTTGTACCCACTTTGAGTTACCCAATGTCGAGGAAAATGTTATTGTTGTTTCAAATGGTCGCATATGGTATGTGTTGGTGCTCCCTTTGTATTGCTCTCCTTGTTTCAACAAGTGGAAAAAAGAGGATAGTAGCATATGGTGACTCTGTGTTTCAACTTTGTTCTGCGCAGTGGTGAGCTTGCACGGGCAGCACGTTGTTTTCAAACGGTTCTTGAGAAGGACAAGACTCGTCCTGGTGCTTTTTCGAACTACGCAGTCCAACTTCTGCACCAATATGGGTCATTCTTCGCCAGTATGATGTCCCTCTACCTAAGAGTGCAACTCCCCTTTGAGTTTTTTTCAATCAATATTAAGAAAGATGTATCTGAAGTCGTAACCTATCAGTGTATGTGGGAATCAAAGTTAAGCTTTTTTAGATGTCTAACAATCATCCGATGTGCTTGACGTTGAAACAGATTCTCATTCCATCAGTTGTTGAAGGTCGAATCTAAAGCCAATGTTACGTTCTACTAAGGGTCTAAGTCTTCTCATATGCAGGTGCAGGAGCAGGAGCAGGGCCAGAGGCCTATTTGACACGACAGGCAGCAGCAAAAGCTGCCCAGCAATGTTCAGAGGCAGCTTTGAAAGAAGATGCAAAAGCAGGTCATGTCTGGTCCAATTTGGCTGCTGCGCATACTGCGCTGGGCAACATAGAAAGCGCAAGCCAGTGCTTAGAGCAGGTATCGTCTTGAATATTTCAGCTTGTGAGGTTTTCTGTTTGCAAGCTTATCTATTTGGCCAATTCTGAATCTTGGAACACTCAAGCTACATCCAGTGGAACAGGCTGGAGCAAGTTGGTCGAGAATCATATGATCTTTATGATACTTTAGGTTGAGTACTGATTATGGGATTATCTTGTTTCTCAAGTTGACTTGAGAAACAAGATAATCCCATGCGAATGTTCCTCTCCCCGTTTCCTTTCTCTTAAGCTTCTTTGGTATAAAGATTCCATTAAAAAGATTTCCAACAAAAAAATAAGTCCAATAATACCACCTACAGGTAAATAGCGCAATACATTCTCGTGAATAAGAATAGCTGAAGTTGTATGTACATATTATTGTAGACAGCTAAGTTGTTGCCGTATGAAACAGGCAGCAAGACTGGACCCTACAAGGATGTCCACCCGATATGCTGTTGCAGCCCATCGAATCAGAGATGCAGAAAGGTGCGAGAATTCCTCAGACCAGTTGGGATATGCAGCCAATGAGATGGCCTCTATATTAAGAGAAGGAGATGCCACCACAGCTCAACCTTCCCTGGGTTGGTCGGGACTAGCAATGGTTAATAGGGCACAACATGAATCGGCTGCAGCATTTGAGGAAGGAGGCGTCAACCTGAAAGAAGCAGAAGACAGAGCTCTTCATACACTTGAACAGGTCATCACCACTGATGATTAAGCAATTATAGTCAGAACAAATCTGCGGGGATTTCTGCTTTCGTTTGTCAACGTTAAGCATTTTTTTTTATCAGAGCAAGCGACACGCATATTAGCAAATTAGCAAATTATAACCTGGTCTTGAAATAGGGCTCCAACGAGAAGGCCTACTCTTCCTTAGTGGATCAGTTCCTTAAGCCTTTGATTTTCAGCTTTCTCAGACTGTTGTGAGGCTCAGAATTGTTAACGTCTAAGTTTGCAAAGTTTTTAAAAAATATTACTTGGGAGTTCTGGTCGGCCAGCTTTCTGTTTGAACTTGTCCTTAGTTTAGGGAAATATTATCGATTGAAATCCTCTAGTTGTTGTGTCTCGCAGGCCATAGATGAAGATCCTCAAGATGCTCTTCAATGGCATCAAATGGGTTTGCACACATTGTGTACTTTGCAATTTGGAGCTGCACAAAAGTTTCTGAAGACTTCTATTGCCCGACAACGATCATGTTCTCCAGCATGGACCAATTTAGGTACGAAGACTATGGCTTCTTTTCTGGAGAAGTTAGCTTGCTTAGTAAACGCTGTACGTAGTAATTTGGATGAGTATATGTTCGAAAGATCGATGATGGTATGATTCTGATCTGTTCCTGTCTGTTTTTGCTTCTCCTATCCCGTGTCCCAAGGCAAGGGATACATCGTGTGAACCACTGTAAATGTTTGTATAGTACGTATCTCATGTTCTTCTGTGAGTTGTTAGTTTTCAATAAACTTTGTCGCCGGTCCATCAGTCAGGTAAAGTTCTGGTCTTGGCTTGAACTGAGTTTCCACTTGGCTTTCGCATTGCTAAGCTTGTGACAATAGAAGTTTTTATTAGGCACCACAGGTTAGAATCGAAACCCAAATCTGCAACTTTGATGGGCATGATCTGTTCATGTCATGAAACGAAGAAGTTGATAAATGTGGTGGAAAAGGTTTCTTGATTGACACTCAACAATGAAGGCTTATTCTTACATGGGAACGATTCCAGTATGCCAGAGGGTCATATACCTTTCTTCTGCTTGTTAATTGGCCTCTTGAGTCTTTGTGACCTTCAAAGACCAGAAGTCATTGTGCTTCTTTTCTTCCCTCTTTAGTCAGGGGGTCGGGGTGTATAATATCGAGGCTACGGTAGTATCATGTAGTAATGATCATACATATCCTTCTCACCAGAGAGTAACGCAGGCGAGGCTTTATACCGTCGGTCTGCCTGTATACATACATTTTCTTTCTACATATGAAATATATACTCTTATTTGCCACCTACTGTTCTTTTCCTTGAAGTTATTCTAAGTTTCTGTTGATCTCATGTGATCCAAATGTTTTAGGTATTGCCCTACAATTATCCGAAGATCCATCGATTGCCGAAGGAGTGTACAAGGAGGCTCTTGTTCATGCTCCCCAAGAACAAGCGCACAGCATACACGCAAATCTGGGTAACTTGTACCGGCAACAGAAAAGATTCAGCGAGGCTCATGAGTGTTTCAAAAAAGCTTTGGAGCTTTGCCCGGATTATGCTCCAGCATGTAACAATTTGGGGCTCTTATATGTCGCTGAGAACAAGTGGCAGGAAGCAATTTCCTCCTTCGACAGAGCTCTGAGGGCAGACCCTTATTTGGATGCAGCAAAATCGAATCGCATGAAAGCGATAGCCCTTGCACAAATGCAGGGAAACACCATCGAGGAATCCGGACCCCCTTTCAATCCGGCATCTGAACCTACTGCCACCAGCCTCCTGGTGGATAGTGCAACTGCCGTCGTGGCTAGCTTGTCTGTACACAGTCCTCCCCAGCAACCTCAGAGAGATCCTTTTCCCTTGCCATCAGTTTCATAGCATCGCAATTTCATAGTGATCATGTAGAAGGCGGCGAATATTTTCTGATTACTGGTACAATTTGTCAATATGAACCACGGCGGTCGAAGTAGTCATTGTAAAGAGCTGAATTAGTCGGGATAACGCAAACACCCTTTACTTAGAATCAGATCGTAAGTCAGGCTGAGTTTAGTCACAAGCTTCTCAAAGTCCGTCCTCTGGGCAGCTGTGTCGAGTACCGGTCGTACGGCCGTACCTCATCAGTAATAAAGAGAAATGTCATTGGCGCTATCAATGAATGCTTCGCCTTTTTACGTACCGCTGGCATCTCCATGATGTGAAATACATGTCCAGAGAGTGTTGATCAGCCAGGAAGAAAGCTCAGTTTGTAATCAAAGTTCGGAACTATTTTATAAACTTAGAAAAGGCACAATGTAAAGTTTTTAGTGCATGAATATGAAGCTGTGCGTGTGTGCACGGGTGTGTCATTCAGTGCAGCCCTTTCAAAGTAAGAGACCGAAGCCACCACATTCGAAAAGCCTTTCTGAAGGTTTAGGGCGAGGGCAGAGAGAAATGTTAACGCCCGGCAGAATCAAGCTGAACTTAGGGATAATAAAGCAAGCGAAAGTGGAACAGGACGAGCATTCAAAGGTGAACCAGAACAAGAATCTGTTCAGTTGTTACAAGAAGTTCACTTTTTCTGTCAATAGGTTTCAAAGGTGCATCATTCCTTTATGGAATTCTTCTCACAAACTTTTATATTAGCTAAAGAGGTGAGGGAGATGGGGGTGGATGGAACGACGAAAGTTTCGTGCTGATTTATGTAGACTCCACTGGATACCTAATAATGTGTGCATTTATAACACGCACCCTGTGAAATCCATCTTCTAAACGATGGATCCTCACAAACATGTACGGAGTTAAACTTGTAGAATCAAAGTATCAAAGTTTGTGTTTGGGAAGGTCATCCTTCGTCCATATGTCATCTGCTCGAGACAAGATTTATGAGCCTATGAAATGTGAAAATATTATTTTCTTGTTAAGAATTGCAGAGACTCCTCTGAAAACCTACGCTGAAATCATGATTGAGGGTCTTAGACTTATACGTAGGCTCTGGGTTCTGTTATATGTATGTGATATCGTGAGACGTTGTACTTAGTTCCAGTTCATGCATGTTTACTCTAGGGGACTTCTGATGTGCTGTAGACAGAAGAATGTCGTAATCATCATAAACATGGGCATGCCATACGAGGGTATGGCTCCAAACGAAGATAGCCGTCCAACGTAACTTTTGCTTGTTTGGATTCTGTGCCAGCTTCAGAGGGACAAAACTTGAAGTGAAATAAATTGAGAGTCGCGTTTAGAAACATGATCCACACTCGTGTGTTTAGCTTTCATATGAGAAAACTTTGCTTTTCTTTTGACCACCAATCAATTTAATTCTATGTTGCGTCAAATGTTTTACGGATTTACAATTTCACAATTTTATGCAAGCTAGCTTTTCAATCCCGTCTCCTATTCCAAAGAAAAAGTGACCACCGGTTTAGGTAAGACATCCTACGCCTAGACGACTGACTAGGTATCGAAGCCGCATGCGCAAGGGCTGTGCTTTTGGAAGGCAGTCGTATACGTATCCCAATCATACATGATCAAAACTCTAACTTTCAATGGAAGGAGAAATTTGCTTACAAATGAATTGATTGGCAAGCCAAACTCTACATATTAGAATGGTTGGTGCTTCCTACCTATCAATGATTAAATAGGCAAACGGTGGTGTGTAAACGAGGTTGCTTGGCCGTCCAATTTCCGTGATGATGAACTCCGCATAGTTTTGATTCATGAGTCCCAACACAACTTCGTGATTCTGAGAATCTAACGAGATTCTCTATTTCGCTGTAATCTCTTATAAGCTAACTCGGATATTAAGATTAGCGGATCCGCAAGTTTTGGCAATGATCTGGGTGCGAGGTTTGCAATCACTTCGTGGATCACTTTCAAGCACTGAAAAGCATTATAAATCTGGCAAAGCCCTTCATCTGGTTTCATTCACCGACTGACCGAATCCCAGAAGAGAAGGTCGCATGACCAAGACATCAGTAGATTGAAAAAGCACCCTCTAGAATGACGAATCGCACGTTTTTCATAATCCAGCATAAAACAATATACCAAATCAACACCGATCGAAGAATCTAAGCTCGCTGAGCAGTGCCGGGCCCCGCACTTTCACTAAAGCAGCAGCTGCGAGGCCTGAAGGACTGAAACGCGAGTTTCCTGACGTACACTGCCCGGAAAGCACAAGCGAACAAAACATATTCAAATACGCAGCAACCGAATGTACGCAGTACAGTGGGAACCACGGAGCACGCGATTATCTGCCGACCCGACCCGATCCGACCCGACCCGACCCGAGGCGTGTCTGAACACTCATGATGGTTACAGATTCCGTGGAAAGCGAGTCAAACGGGGCCGTCTTGGATTTCTTCGGCCATCGAGTCGAAGGCAATGGGGGAGACCCAACGGGGCCCGTGTCAGAAGGCGGCCCGGGGCGCCTTTCGTCTGACTGGACTCGAGGCGACAACAACATCGAACAGGCGGAGGGAGCTTGGTTCAAAACTGCGAGGCGCGGGTCGAGGCTCGGGAACGCTGCTCGGGTCGGGAGTCGGGAGCGTCGTGGTCGTGCGTCGTCGTGGCGGCTCACGTCGATCGAGGGCCGAGGGTCACCGGAGACGCCAGGAGCGAGCGAGGTTGCGTTGCGAGGGGAGGCAGCGAGCGAGGGAGCGAGGGAGCGAGAGAGTGTGCTTCGGGAGCCCTCGGGCAAATGAATGGGGGAAGAGCGCTGGGTTGGGGACTGCTCGCTGCATCTGCCTCCTCCTCCTCCTCCTCGAGTCGTTGAATCGTGAAATTGGGTGGCTTTCGTTGTGGTGCCTCGACCTCCGGTCAGCTCTTCGCTCCTGTTCGGTCGGTGGATCGGTGGTGAGGCGTATGTTTGTGCTCGTCGATCGTCGTGGTCATCGTCGTCCATCGAAGCCGATGCGATTTCGGATGGCCGAGTGGGTGGAGCGAGTTGTGGTCGCGCAGGCGAAGTTGTGATGTGATTTGATGTGATCCGACCAGACCAGACCAGACCAGACGAGAACACGACAGCATTGGTTGGTTCCGCTAGACTACGGTATGATCTGATCTGCGCCACCGTTGAGCTCGGTCGCGGTGGGGAGGGGCTGGAGGTTGTTATTTCCAAGTCTGGGGAGCTGCAAGCGTTTGAGGGAAGGTGGAGTGGTGCTTTGCGCTGAGCGGACCGCTGTAAGCTGGGCGGGCCAACAGAGGAGTCACGATGGGAATTTTTTTGTCGAAATTGTTTTCTCAGTTATTTGGAGACAAGGAGGCTCGGATTCTCGTGCTAGGGCTCGACAATGCGGGAAAGACTACCATTCTCTGTATCCTACCTAAATCGTCCGAGTCGAAGTCTGTGCTGATCGGATTCAATGTTGTTGGTTTTTCTCACTTTTTGTTTTTTCGGTACGAACGACCTCGATAGGGTTTGGAAATCAGCCCGCGTCTACGCAGAATCTGGAATAAGGAATGAAGTTGTTTGGAGTATGTGAGCTGCGTGATAAGACCTTTCTCTAATGGGTAAGTGAGCGCTATGTCCGAGAATGTGAAGGCGAAAAATTCCTGTTCATTTTCGTACGTGACCCTGTTCCGACCGCAGACTAGGGGCTTTAAGCTCACAGCACCTCAAGAATTAAATCCTCTGCATAAATGCCCCACAATATGGTGTTGACATGGACAGTCTGGTCTCCTTGAAGTTGCATCAACAAGGTTCTGGCGGAACTGTTGAGTAGAAACAGCTGGATTCAACATATGTTTCCAAAGAATGAAAATGGTTTCATGAGCATAAACTATATCCTTGAAAAGTAGTCCAGTGTTCGTGATCCAATATATATTCGAAGACTAAGTGATGGTCATGATAAGCACATTTATTTCCTTAATTATTTGTTTAGATCGCCTGCAGGTGGGAGAGGTGGTAGCTACTATACCAAGTAAGTCTTGCTATTCTCCTCCTTTTCGTTGCTGACAGCTGAAGATACTCCTAGCATTGATTATACACTCCTAGAGGATAAATTTAACAGCGCTGAAGGTTTTGTCATTGTCCGTTCAATTCCACTTCCATTTTCTCTGCTATCCCTCCCAAAATGATCACTGCAGTGATTCCTATATGTGATAGTTCGGTATGGATCCCAGCTTCGGTAATTAGGTTGAAGTGAGTTATCTCATGGTAAGTTTGACAGCGTCGAAATTGGAAATGAAATGCATTGATCTTTCTCTTTCCACAGTCCCGAGTTCACACGTGAACTTACTGCAGTTATAAAGAGAAAACACATTTTTTCATAATTTATTGTCTGCTGGCATGAATAAAGTACACATAAGAATACGCTGAACAGAGCTACAAGGTTACAATCACGAAGGCTTCTATTATCTTGGATTTTCCGCTTTTCAGTACAGCTGATTCATTCTTGTCCGTGCTCCCAGGCTTGAGCTGGGAACGCAAAGCTGCCAAAGGAAACAGTCACTGAGTTTATCGTCTATCGAGCCTATAGGGGTAGGGACCTAAAGTACAAAGCAAAGTCAGAACGCAGGAGCTAACATCATGGAGATATTGGGTTTGCAATATATGGATCAGATAGATTTATTCTTATGAGTCATACATAAGCAGATGTAATTTGAGGTTGTAAAGCAGGAAACAACGATAGGAGCTTTTTCTAAGTCAGTTTCTACCTCTGAGGGGAAAGCTTTGCCTTTTCAAAATCTTCAAAATCTTCAAGGAACCTCTTCAAAATCTACGTACGTATACCCTGTAGGTATGGCTACATGCCAACGGGAAAAGAAACCAAAGCCCGAGTACATCATCAAGTGGAGGCTACCTCTTACTTTACGTCGGGTTTGGAGTCATCCTCTCACACTAAACCAAACTTAACCGTACGTTGGTACTCATATTTGTCCTATTTCATAATACCAGTAAAATGAGCTTTGAGGGTGAGAAAATTGCAAATTGACAATGACTGGTGGTGAGCAGCCATTAGCTTATGACAATAACGAAGTGAAAGAGGTGGATCATCTTTGCGAAATTTGTATATGTTCAATAGGCGCTTTGTTTACCTCCCTGGTCGTATTGATTTATCATTACGATTGCACTACAAAATGTAGCACATAGTTTGTTTTTCACTTTTGCCACCTGCAAAGTTCTGAAAGGAGAGCTTGCTGCACGACTGAATATGGTTGTTCTTACACGTTCACCTTTTTCACTGGTTCCACAGTTACATCCCAGTTTGCTTCTCTTCATTGAGTAAAAAAGTTTGTTAAGCTCACAGGATAATATATTGAATAGCAAGGATATAGTCAATAGCTGTTGCGACAACCTTACTGGCAAAATTCTCATGTGCTAGTCTAGAAACCAATGTGATACAGCAAACGTCACCCAGGGCCTTGTCATATAAGTGAATTTTTTAGTATCCTTGGTGAAGGTTTTTAGAATCATAAGTCATTAATTAGTTTGACGAGTTTTAGGGGTTAATACAAATAGCTGGCGATGGTAATTGAAAAGGAAATTTGCGTGTTTTAGCGGCCAAGTTAGTTGAATTGTCTTTCTCTGAGTTCTCTAAATGCGGTTGTTCGTTGGTGTGCAACAGCTATTGGTTTTAACGTGGAGACTGTACAATACAACAATATCAAGTTCCAAGTGTGGGACCTTGGTAGGGTTCTCTATTTCTATTTTATGCAACCAAGATGAAAAGATGTTGGTTTATACGAATTTTGGCCCAGTGTACTATTGGCTTGTTACCATTCACTTTACTATTGCTAGACAACTTCTTTCTTATCGGTTGCTTAAAATGTGTGCATGTGGTGTGGAACTCTTCGTCGCCGGTTGCAGGTGGTCAAACGAGTATAAGGTACATTCTGAGGACTTTCTTCCATGAATGAGGACTTTTTCCGATGAAAGTGTAGCCCCCGTTTGTGATAAATGGAATGGAGTGTGGGAGAGATCTTGAAGTTTTATGACTCTTTTCAACGATGGAGGTTGACAGTCACGCCCACTTGAAGACTACTTGTGTTGATTTACACATCCGATCATGTCACATCTGATTATATGTGTCCTAGTCTGTACCTGCTTATGTTCCTTGAGGTCTGTTACCAGCTTCCGATGTCGTTCGTCCTGAAAAGTTAATCTTCTTGTCAGTGAATGTCCAAATAAGTGTTAGAAACATGCATATTGGTTTGGAATGGTGATCTTGGAGATAATTGGTGAAGTTAGCATTGGTTGTTATGGCCTTTACTCGATATTTTTCCAGGTGGAATATCTTTTAGGACTCAACTGTCATTTTATTCAATCGACTTACAGTCCAAGAACGTTTAAGTGTTAACTCAAGTTAACAAACTGGATGCAGACCTTATTGGAGATGCTATTTCCCCAATACGCAAGCAGTCATTTATGTCGTAGACTCAAGCGATACCGATAGGATGGCCACAGCGAAGGAAGAATTTCATGCCATTTTAGAGGTGAAGCCTGCCTTTATTTTGAAAACGTAACGATGACAGTAACATAATTTGAGCTCGAATTGACGCGGGTGCATTCTTCTCCCCTCTTTACGCGTTTCAGCACTTCCTTGCACCTGCTTTTACTTCCTGAACTCAAGAAGTATTGTGTTAACAGTCCAATTTTTTGATATTTACAGGAAGAGGAACTAAAAGATGCCGTGGTTCTCATCTATGCCAACAAGCAGGTTTGTTGGCCTCATCATTTGTCCGTTTTTGAAGAATCTTACATGATTATCAGTAGGAAAGCGTCCTTTTCCATATCGTGGTATCTACATCTTCTCGATGATATTGCTGCCAATAAAAACTTAGGTTTTCTATCTGCGAAGTCTGTTCATCGCATTGTTTTTCTCAATGGTTCTTGAGTAATATATGGTCGTCTGTGAATGGATCACTGCAGAACCTTATCGCTGATGAATTGTTTTCTGGACAGGATCTTCCTGGAGCTCTAGATGATGCATCTGTCACAGAGGCCCTAAATTTGCATAAGATCAAAAACCGGCAGTGGGCTATATTCAAAACTTCAGCTGTTAAGGGAGAAGGGCTCTTTGAGGGTCTTGATTGGTATGCTTGACAATTAGCACACAATACCCAGAGAAAAGCGTGTTGTTATGAGCCTTAAGTCCGTTGGAAGTTTAGTGTTTAGTACCTTTTAGATGGTAGCCATGAAATTGTTTTCGACACCATACACCTCAGAATTTGCGTTTAGGTTTATTCCTCGTATTTACTGTATCGTATATTCATTTGGTTTGCAGGCTCAGTGACACTCTAAAAGCAAGAGGCAGATAACTGAAGGTATGTGCAATATTCTGAATTTGGGGTACATGGTTATATGGCATTTACCACCTTATGCTTTACCCTGGCTTCTCTTTACGAAAAAATTGTGTAGCTGGATCACCAGGCATAGCTCATGTCATGAGGACTAAGAGATCGACGTGCTCTTTGTTGTCTGGAAGTCGTGTATTCCTTGAGTTTCGCTTCCGTATTACTTGATTGGTTGTTTTCATAGCCGTTACCTAAGTAACAAGTGTGGCTGTTTTACTTCCAGAAGCTCGACTCTGGCCAGAATTTTGCATCCAAATCTTCGGGCAGGGAGGCAGCATTGTGTTTTCTTCAACTCGAAGACGCCGCAAAGTCGGTCTTCAACACTCAGTTTCCGAGGTTGAGTCGTGTGGCTACATTCATATTCTCACAACGTTTATCTGATAATCTCAGCATTGCAAGGAGGGAGCGTTCAGTTCTGGATAACGGAGGCCGAAAGTATCTTGATAGAATTTAACCTTCAAAACGTTCACCTCAGTTCCGACCTGTTGATTGTAAGGAGGGAGGGGCCATAGTTTGTAGGGTACTTTTGCTAGGAAATACGTACATATCTATGCAATCTTCACGGTTGCTGAATAGAAAATTATGCCTCTCTACCGTCATTTGGTATGGGAAGACAGAAACCACCTTTACCTAGCATAAGGAATTGGAGTCTATCATTATAGTATAGAATTTAGTTTCAAAAGCGGTCAGTGTTGACGATCAACCAGGTTTACTTGGACATAATTTTACTGATTTTGATGGCAGAAGGTGTTCAAGGAGTTGAAGTAATCCGTAGGTTTTTGAAGTTAGAGGTTTGACCTTGGTTGTATTCATAATTTGGCAAATGCCGCCAGCTTATGTGATGTCAATACTCCGTAATGCATAAATTCCGGTGGCATATTTCAGAAGAAAATTGTCCAATGATTATATTTTCAAGACGCTTTCCTTCTGTTTCACCACAGTATTGAAGTCGGATAACTGGAGTTCTTGTGCTTACTTTCTTATGTAAGTGACTACAATGTTTCCGAGCAATGGCTTAGTTTCAAAACACGTCCTGCTGTCAATATCTCTTTGGAGATGTATGGATAAATTATGAAGTAATTCTGAAAGTTTCATACTAAATGAAAAATACTTCACTTGAAAAGAATTGTTACTAAATGGAAGAACTTTTTCTCGAGAGAATATGCAGTGTGCAATACGTTTCAACATACGATCAATCACACAGTCAACGATCCAATTTTACTTCCCCAATCCCTCAGTAGCTACCAAACATTTTTATTGAAGGTCCAATACTCACCGCGCTACCCTTGTCCCACCTGGTACATGCCACTTGACTGGTGTGGTCTCTAACCATAAGGTGTTATTTTCATTGCTGGTCGGATTTTTTATCCGCCTCCTCTTTTTCTAGTAATGTATTATAAGCTGAAGTTACTGGACTGCACTCTTCTCTCGGCATGAGGTAAGGTATGCAAGTAATGTAATGTGTTTGCAAGGAAAATCATCATCACGGTCATTTCGAAATCCAATACTCAAATCACGTGATCAATAATCTGTGTGTTGAAAATTACATGCTATGTTCAATTTTCAATTTATATATGACATCATAATTATTCAATTGCAGGAGAAGTACAATGATCATGCATCACAGATGCAATCCAAAAATATTGGGAATCTAGGGACAAGAATAAACGAACTACTGGATGAATTTTATGAGTTGAAATTTGGTACATTAAAGTGTACGACCATAAGTTTACTTTTGTAGATTCGGTCTGAGTTAATATTGTAAATAAAATTTATTTTTGAAAGTACTATAGAGCTTGATAACAAAAAACGAAATATTCTTCATTGACAAACATACAGTTTATTGTTTTACATTTTTAATTATTTTTAGTATGAAGCATAAAGTTAAAATAATTCCTTTGATTCTTAACATAGATAAAACATATTCAACAGGAATTTCTCAAATTTTAACTTTATATATATTTCTTTGAATCTAATCTTTGTTCTTATATATATTACCAATATATTGAGTCATCAATTTTGAGAATAAAATTAAGGTTTGAAATAAATTTCTAAAATGAGATGCAATCGTCATTTTATTTACTAATGGGTTGAAGTTTGATATAATAGAAGTATTAGAATGATTGTATGAATTTTGTGTGAAGATTTAACCAACTAAAAATGGTATAAAAAGAAATTAAAATCAATTGCTAATGTGCAATCAATGACGTTTGCATTCAGATTGCAGGGTAGTTAAGGATTAAATTTTAGCTAGATATTATGAGAAAATTACTTGATGGAACTTCTGCTTAACACAAAGAACTTACTATTCATCAAGTATCATTTTCTTTGATAGGATACCACCGACTGCACCTGATGGGCTATAGTGGAGGAGGTATACTTTGAAAGTTCCAACTTGGTTGCAAGTTTTGCGTCGGCAAAACTTCATGATGATGATGCCCAAGGTTATCACAATTGGTATTGTGATAACCTTGGACATCATCAACATTCCTTGCATGAGTGATTTTGTGGATATGAAGAAGATTTGAAGAAGTACTTGTTGAGGACATGACGGACTTATCACGTTATGCTTTTGCGAGCGTCTATGTGGCTACGTATCGAGGAGTGTAATATTCAGACAAAACATGTAGCAACAGATTGTCATCTTGACTGAAGATTTACAATTTGATTTATCCATGGCAAAGCGAGTAGATTCAATGGAGGGGACATAAGCACACGTGCCGATGTAGCTCAACGCATGCACATCAAGAGAGTCATCCATATTGATCTTCACATCATACCTCATCCTCTTGGTGTTTTTATGATGCTAGAGTTACAAGTCGGATGTCGTTAGCTTTGAAAAATTTTGCAAGATAAAAACTACAAAACTATTGATAAAAATGCTATAAGATTAAGATTTGATCATTTCAAATTTTTAGGCTGAAAAATGTACATGCTATAATATTATCATTGTGTGTTTGATTGATATTTTTTAGATTTAGCTTGGAATAATCACATGCATAAATTTGAAAATAACTTAATATAACAAATTTGTGATTACTGGGTATTCACACCTTAGAAGTAAACTTCTCTGGTATAGACAAATAGGTTAAAAGATTGGTTTACATCAGTGAATGATAAGAGAGTAAAAGATCTTCAAAATTTGCTATGATATTTAAAATGTTATCATTAGCTTATTCGATTGAAAATTTATTGTATCTTTCCATGAATTTAAATTGAAACATTGTGGTGTATGTTTTGTGTGAACAACACATCTGAATCTTTGATTCGTGTAGCTTATGTGCGTTGATTACTGCAGGAAACATGATTTGAAAATCTTTAGATTGAATGACTCCATATGATGGAAACATGTTTCACTTTGACTTATGTTTGTGATGACTCACATTACCATGTGTTGTTCCATATGTAAATTTGTTATTGCTTCGTTACAAATTTAATATATCGATGTCAACGTTAAAATTCTGTAGAGGTTTAAAAAGAGGCTTTATTCGACATAGATTTTGCTGCATCCCAAGAGTGTTCAGATACAAAACTCTCATTCATTAATAAAAAACTTGTAAGGAGATAAAAATGTCATGAAGAAATTTATTATAGATAACGTTTGAAGTACTAGCGTGGTTTTATTGAACCCCCATATTCGCGTCCATGCTTCAATTAAGTCGATGCAAAAGTAAGATATGATGCAACTTAAGCATTAACTTACGGTGGTGTGATGTGGTGATTGTGAATTTTTCTCTGCAATATAATACATTCTTATTTTCGGATAATCTCCAAAATTGAACGAATTGTCTCCTTGTGTCTTGCTCGCCCTCTTAGAATTCTATATACAAAATTGTGGAACTAGTAGAAGCCAAAAGCTCATAAACTAATCCATGAAATCACACGCCGATCAACAATGAGATAAGAAAAGGCATGATCACGAAATGCATGAAAGAAACTATTGTACAAACATGGTAAAGTATGTTATTGAAAATCTAGACTCCATTTTGTATCTCATTTGACTGCAGAAGGATAACCTTCCCACACCCCGTTATAGATGTAAACACCAACTTATCAAAACCCAAATATAATAATTCTTTAATATGATCTTCATAAATTAAGAAGTAGAGAAGAAAACGTTTTTAATATAAGTACCCAAATCTTATTTAAAATTAATTTAGAAAACTTTGCGAATTGTAAAATCTGTATTTATATCAGTTCAATATAAAATATGGTATATATATGAATACGATACATGAAGAAAATAGCGGCCGAAAATTTCGTCCCTGCTATTTGAGCCCGCTAATAAAGAACAGTAGGGAAAGTAGAGAGAGTCGAGGAAGGGAGGCAGTCGAGACGAGAAGTAAGAGCAACGGGAGGGAAGGAACATGATGAAGGGGAATCGGAATGGACAGCACGTGGGGCTGGAAAGTCCATACGAATTGGACATTCCGAAGAGGCCGAGCCAACAACCAGTCACCAACCAGCCACTTCGACTCGTCTGCTGCGAGTCAAGGAAATGTGATTGACAAGGTCTGCGTGCGTCGCTTCCTCGAGTTTCCGCATCATTGACTTGAATCCGGCTTCTTATTCGACGCCCCATGCCTTCCTCCTTATTTCCACGACTCTAGCTCAAGCCTCTGCGACCCTCTGGGTGGCTGCTTGCTCGGTCTCCGGCTCCTCGGTCCCCAGCACGAGCAGCAAACCTCACCCCGGCCTCTTCTTGATCGTTTCAGTGTCCGGAGGCGTGTGCGTGTGGGTCGATCGATCCGTCGACTAGTTTTGGGGCGGGTCTCGTCGCTGTTTTGTGGTGGAGAGCTTGAGGTTTGCAGATCTGGTAGTCTGAGTCGGACGGGCACGGGAGGCAGGGAGGGAGGAGATATGGATTCCTCCGTAGACGCTCTGAAAGATGACAACATGGCGCTCGCAGGCATAGCGTTGGCCGTGGTCGCTGTCGTTGTAGGTTCGGCCTTTTTGTTCGTTAAGCTGAAAAAGAAAGGTAAGAAGCGGATGAAGATTTGGACTCTTGGACTCGATTCAAATGCTTTTGATTCGTTTGGAGTGATGCCCTTGAAGCGTGCCCAGGGACGGTGGAAGTAATGGGATGGGATGGGATTTGATGGATTGAGAAGAGAGGGCTCACTTTGAACGATTCATGTTTTGTGTCTGCTCTAGTGGGAAAAATGCTGGCGAAACCTGATGTAGATTTTTTTGGTCCTTTAGACAGCCTGATATTAAATACGCGCTTTCCGTCCGTTTCAGATCTTTACCCTTCAGATCCTCGTCTTGTAGAATTTCGAAATATATATACTTAAAAAAAAGGTCTTACTGAGTTTTAGTCGAGTCAGTTAGAAGTTCAGTGAAAATACGAGACATTTAGAATGTGCTTGTTTCTTCGGTCCCTATAGGAGTATGCTTGTTACTTGATTCGTGTTGAAAGCCATTTGTGGCTGTTCAAGTTCGAGACTGTTCGCTCTTGCTCAAGGACCCCAGTCTAGACAGCTGAATATTCTGTACTTTATGTTTTAAAAGCTGAGTGCAGGCTTTCGAAATATGTCAACACACTTCGTGGCAAGTGCCGAAAGTCACAAAGTTGTTTAAATCTTAGAAACTTCTGATTGATGCGTCCTTTTTTCCTCTCATGGCTCAATCTGGAATAGCCTGCTAATATAATTACCTTTTGATTTGTGAGCAGGATCTCTAAATCCGGAAAAGTGGACGCGTTTCATCTTGGAAAAGAAGACTCAAGTCAGTCCCAACGTCGTAAAACTGAAATTCGCTCTGCCTACTAAGACTTCAGTCCTCGGGCTACCTATCGGTCAGCATGTGAGTTGCAGGTGAGGATCTGTTTTTAATCTTCTCCTCACGGTCTCCTTCGGTCATACTCCTGTGTTTGATAAGAGAGTGAAGACAGGAACGGACATCAGGACTTGTCTCAGGATGTTTAATCTTATGCATAGGTTCGAGGTAAAGCAGCAGCTATTTGTCCATTACTTCTAGCGCAGTTTTCTTCATGTAATGATGAGTGAAATCGGGAAAAGATTAGTTCAGCCGTTAGACGAAATGATTAAGACAATGTATAAGTCTATTTAAATAAGATTCTGGTCGATGCCGCGAAGAACTTTTCTCCAGATGATCGTCCAGAGGGTTTTGTCTAAAAAGGATCAGGTTTACGGGTAGATACCTACGCATTGCAAAGGTTTAAGGTAATTCAGCAGCAGTTTGTCTACTACTTCTAGCGCATTGTTCTTTATGTAAGTATGGGTGAAACCGGTGAGAGATTAGTTCAGCCGCTGGGACGAAATGATTAAAGACAGTGTATCAGTCTATATAATTGAGACTTTGGTCGATGCTGCGAACAACCTTTCTCCAGATGATCGTCCAGAGGGTTTTGTAAACAAATGATCAGGTACTTGTAGATTTCTACTTATTGCAAAGGCTTAAGGTAAATCAGCAGCAGTTTTTCTCCTATTTCTAGCGCTTTTTATTTGTATGTTATGACGGGTGAAAGATTAGTTCAGCCGCTGGGACGAAATGATTAAAGACAGTGTATCAGTCTATATAATTGAGACTTTGGTCGATGCTGCGAACAACCTTTCTCCAGATGATCGTCCAGAGGGTTTTGTGAACAAAGGATCAGGTATTTGTAGATCCCTACTTATTGCAAAGGCTTAAGGCAAGTCAGGAGCAGTTTATTTCCTGTTTCTAGCGCTTTTTATTTTTATGTGATGACGGGTGAAAGATTAGTTCAGCCGCTGGGACGAAATGATTAAAGACAGAGTATCAGTCTATATAAATGAGACTTTGGTCGATGCTGCGAACAACCTCTCTCCAGATGATCGTCCAGAGGGTTTTGTGAACAAAGGATCAGGTATTTGTAGAGCCCTACTTATTGCAAAGGCTTAAGGTAAATCAGCAGCAGTTTATCTCCTACTTCTAGCGCTTTTTATTTTGATGATGGCGGGTGAAAGATTAGTTCAGCCGCTGGGACGAAATGATTAAAGGCAGTGTATCAGTCTATATAAATGAGACTTTGGTCGATGCTGCGTAGAACCTTTCTCCAGATGATCGTCCAGCGGATTTTGTGAACAAAGTACCAGGTACTTGTAGATCCCTACTTATTGCAAAGGCTTAAGGTAAGCCAGGAGCAGTTTGTCTACTACTTCTAGCTCATTGTTCTTTATGTAAGTATGGGTGAAACCGGTGAAAGATCGTTTCAGCCGCTGGGACGAAATGATTAAAGACAGTGTATCAGTCTATATAATTGAGACTTTGGTCGATGCTGCGAACAACCATTCTCCAGATGATCGTCCAGAGGGTTTTGTGAACAAAGGATCAGGTATTTGTAGATCCCTACTTATTGCAAAGGCTTAAGGTAAGTCAGGAGCAGTTTTTCTCCTATTTCTAGCGCTTTTTATTTGTTTGTGATGACGGGTGAAAGATTAGTTCAGCCGCTGGGACGAAATGATTAAAGGCAGTGTATCAGTCTATATAAATGAGACTTTGGTCGATGCTGCGAACAACCTTTCTCCAGATGATCGTCCAGAGGGTTTTGTGAACAAAGGATCAGGTATTTGTAGAGCCCTACTTATTGCAAAGGTTTAAGGTAATCAGCAGCAGTCTATCTACTACTTCTTGCCCTTTTACTTTTATGTAATGACGGGTGAAACCGGTGAAAGGTTAGTTCAGCCGCTGGGAGAAATGATTAAAGGCAGTTTATTAGTTTATATAAATGAAACTTTGGTCGATGCTGCGAATAATCTTTCTCCAGATGATCGTCCAGAGGGTTTCGTGTACAAAGGATCAGGTCTACTGGTAGATCTCTACGTATTGCAACTGAATGTCTGGCAGTTACTTTGAACATATTGTGGTCAGATATATTGGTCATCGTGATATATTTTGAAGACAAGGCACGACCAGGATTTCTGAAAGTTGGACCAACCGATCAAATGGAGAGTGTCTTCTATTTCATGAAGACACTTTTCCCAGACCATCTAGCATAGTTGTGATAGAAGCACTGACCCTGCATTTATATTTTTTTAAATACCCAAGATGATGGAATGATGATACGCTCATTTGATGGAACGCAAGATAGTTGTTTCAGGGCAAATCTCGTAGTAGGTTATCATTTGCTTGTGGTTGGACATTAGAAGCTACGATGGACGAGTCACTCGCTTGATGCTATTCTTTAAATCTAGATGGGATGTGCTCATTCTTCTGTTCTTTCGATTGTCTTTAGGGGACAAGATGTAGAAGGTGAGGAAGTCATCAAGCCGTACACCCCTACCACTCTTGATTCTGATGTGGGCTTCTTCGAGTTAGTTGTTAAGGTGAGGATTGTAGATTGATCAATGTTCTTTGTGATCTTGGATCCTTGTGGTCTCAAATTCTATAGCAGTGCTGCAATGATACTTGTTGAATTCACTGGACGCAATACTTAATGTTTAGTCTTTGGAGTGAGACTGTCGGCGATGCTGCTTCTACTGTCTCTAAATGATCGTTGAGAAAAGTTTTGTTCGAAAGTTAGGCCCTGCTTGTACACTTTGTGGATCTGTACCGCAGTGGGGTAGCCAAGTTGTATCAATGTTTGTTTGCTGGACGAGATGATTCAAAATAGTGCATCAGGAAATAATAGTGATTATTCTCATCGATGCTGCAAACAACCTTTCTCCGTATAATCGTCCAGCGAAGTTGCTTTCTGTTGATTAAGTCTTATTGGACAATTGTATGACCACACAGTGGTGGTGCTCTACCACGTACAATAATACTATAGTGAACAAATCAGTCTATAAGTGGTACTCTTTTTCTGTGCTGAATGCTAAGGTGGGCGAGATAGAGTCTGCTTCTACAAATGCTGGAATTTACTGGTTAACTTTGAGATACTGATGCCTGCAAATTCGCGAATGTTTGCCTACATCTGAAACAGGTCTATGAGAAGGGTCGCATGTCAGGATATTTTGGTAGGATGAAGGAAGGAGATTATTTGGAATGCAAGGGGCCCAAGGTTTGTATTCTGCGATATTATGTGTTCGGTTGCCATATTTGGGAATTTGTAATCAAGTTCATGTTTCCCATCAAGCATATGCCTTTTAGGCTTGAATGTCTGACACTTATGAGAAGGAACCCCTTCAAGACTGGAATGTCTCTTTTCTAACTCTCATGTTATTCTGTTCTGAACGTAGGGTCGATTCAGATACACCCCAAATATGATGAGAGCTTTTGGAATGATTGCCGGCGGTACTGGACTTACCCCGTGTTACCAGGTATTGGCGACTTCACCGTTTGCAACGAATCATCATGTCCTCCTGACAAGGCCTACATGTAGAGTAGTTCCGTTTGCCCTTCCGGTTGCGATTGTTTCGGGGTCATTGCCTTCGGTTTTCATGTATGATTGCTGGGTTCCTATCGTCTTCTTTTGTTTTAGATGTATTTTAACAAGGGCTATTGTGTTCCAAACAGGTAACCAGAGCGATTCTAGAAAACCCCAAAGACAAGACCAATGTGTCGCTTATCTACGCCAATGTTACTTTTGAAGACATATTACTGAAGGTCAGTTCTCCTGTACACTCAACAGAGTGTACAGGAGTCAAGGACTAGGATGTCGATGTCTTATCAGAAGTAGATAGCCTGAAGCAACGTGCCGTAAATGCTGAATGATTTAGATTTGACTCGCTACATAGGGCTTTACTACGATCTTGGTTTTAAAACGTCCATGTTTTGCCCTGTTTCCAACATCTTTGGTGTGCGGAACCAGCCTAATCACAGCTCTAGGAGTCTTAGTGTCAAGGTCACCCACGAAATTGAAAGTACTTGTCTTGCTCACAGTTCGTTATCCTATTTACAGGATGATCTTGACAGAATGGCAAAAATGTATCCTGATCGATTTAAAGTTTACTACGTTCTCAACCAGGTACGCGGTGACTACAACATTTTCATCGTGTTAAACCGGCTTCTCGGACTAAAGAATGAATCAAATGCTAATCCCAGACTTTGCATGCTTGGTACCTAGCAAAAGCTTTTCATCTTCTCCGCAGCCTCGTGACGGGCAAATCTGTAGCCTTTTTTTGTCTTGGTAACTTATAGCTGTGAGCTGCTTTTTTTGCAGGCTCCTGCCGACTGGCAAGGTGGCGTAGGTTTCGTGTCTGCTGATATGATCAAAGATCACCTTCCTGCACCTGCCGCAGATATCCAGGTATGAATTTAGCCATCTCTAGTCTGAGCATCAGGGTGAAAGCATCCACAATCAGTTCAAAAGCTATATTTCATGTATTCAACAATGTAGGATCTCCTGGATTAGCCTAGATGCTCACTCTCCCGTTCAATTGAAAGTTTTCTAAAAACAAATCTACTGCAGGTTTTGAGATGCGGCCCGCCTCCTATGAACAAGGCAATGGGAATGCACCTTGATAACCTCGGTTACACCAAGGAAATGCAGTTCCAATTTTAAGTGAGCGTCAATACATTCTTCTCTTTCGCGTACCGAATATGGAGAGAGTACTGCTGGATAAGGTCTCTGGAGCACATTCTAATTAGATTGTTTCTAGCAGGAACCAAGTAGATAATTCAGACCTTTCACAGCTAAGAAATGTGGACCCTCTTTTTTCGCAAGTCAAGTGGCTGGCATGTAGAAAATTTCTCTGAAACGTAAATCGTATGCAACTTCACTACAATTTCTCTTGACTCTCACACTGGAAAACGTTGCTCATTGTCTCTCGTATGTAGAACGTGCTGTACTGAACTACGTGAGGGCTCCTACAATGTATATCTCATCATAACCAATCAAATAGTCAAAACTCGTCACAATATTCAGCGGACGAGCAGTGTCTAGGCCAAAGCCCATTAACGTCTCAAACAGGAACACTTAGAAGGAGACCCACAAGTTTTCCTTTGGGACAATGTGCGGAGTTAAACTTATGCAGTCATGTAGATGTGGAACTGACGCTCGTATATGCAGCGCTCGTCGTAGCGGGAACAACGATCCGAAATTGTTGAGGACGTGAAATGAGTTTTGTCGTATTGTTGTTTTCTGCCATTGAATATTGGCCATTATCAATCAACAGCGCCAAATGGTGATTAATTCACGTTCAATTGCAATCAAATTTCTCGAGATGTTCATTGTTCACTTTCAATGTTTCTCGAGATCTACGCGCAATCTGATGAAGCACGTCCTGTACTGAGGACTCGATAAAACCTTTCCACCGCAGCAACCCAAACCATGGTGTTTGGCCTTTATAATAGTGCCAGGCTCTTGGCCGAAACATGATGAGGTAGAGAGACAATAATAATGTTAAGAGAAACTTCCACGCTGAAACATAATTCAACAGGAAAGAAAAGGAACTAATGAATAACAATCAATAAAAAAGAACATACAAACTATAGGTTTCAACAAGAAAGGAAAAAAAGAAATGAAAGTTAATCTATAAAGAAGAACTACAAATTTAAGAGTTCAACAGGATAGAAAAGGAACAAAAGGAGAATAGCCTATCAATAAGAACTTACACGTTGAAGAAACTGTAGAAAGCGTCGACGAGTACATTATAATTGTACCATTGAAGATGTCAATATTCTTAGAAGACGCCTAAGGAACTTATCAACTTCTGCTATATGGTGGGTCAAAAAGCTGAGACATGGAAAAACGTAAAATAACAGAGAAGGCGAAGGACTGAAGAAAGTATACAAAATTCAGTCAATGTCGGTAAGGATTCCTCTCTGGACATGGGACTCCAAGGACAGACACCTTCTTCAGAAAAAGATGTCGTCGTCGCGGTAATGTTCTCAATCTCGAGATCAGATTTGACCAGCAAAGCATGATCATTAGCAGTTAACACCAACCGCGACGACGTGTGAGAGAATCTGTTTCTGCGGTGGTCAAAATGCAGGAAGACTGGCCTAATGGCCATGCCCAAGAATAACATCCCCGAGTACAGAACTAGATTTTAAAGACGAAATAGAAATGGACAAAAGTAGCTTGCGTATAGTGAATTAGCAGCCGCCGTTCCAGCTGATGAGGCGAGGACAGAAGCTCAAATGTGCCCAATACTTGCAGTCCAGCGTCACGCAAAGACCAGAACAGAGGGAGTGAGACGGAGTGAAAGAGAGAGTGAGCCGATAGTACGGTTTGGAGTGAACCCTCATTCCATCTCACAGTGGGTATAGGTCGATGAGGACCAGATCGATTGATTATGGCTTCCTCATGCAGACGTCCTTGCCTTCCCTCATAAATACCTGTTATTAAACGTGGGTGACTTCTGGCTGCCTGATTTATGTCGCTTCATCGTGGTAAAAGGCTGGTTGGTGCAGCTCCAAGATGTTGCTCTCTTGAATGCCCATATCCTATCGGTGGGTTATCATTATTTAAGTATTACCTTTGAATTAATTTAAGCTTTTCCAAAGTATGCAGTCGTGGAATCGAATATCGAGCCAAGAAGTCGCTGCCTGCTTTCACTGAGGGCGTTATAAATCAGAGGGGGACGACGAACTTGAAGATTCAATCGATCCACTTCATAGAAATCTGACAAGATGGGGATTCTGGAAGAGATGCGGATGGATGAGAACAAATTTGTGACCTTGCTCGGCAACCTCATCGGGGAGGCCAAGTATTTGCAGAATAATCCGCCCGATCTGATTCCCAAGGAGGACAGAGCTGTTCAGCATGTACTGCATATCTTGGAGCCTTTCAGTGTCGAGAACGGTGGACCTCTGAAGATTAACCATAAGAGCTATGTCGAAGGCAGGGGGAACCTTATCGTTGAGTATCCCGGGACTGTTGACAAGAAAATCGTCTCCTTCGTGGGTAGTCACATGGACGTCGTCACAGCAAACCCAAACGATTGGGTGAGCTAAGCTTCCTATTCTTTCGCGTCTTTACTCAACTCTACTGAAGGAGGCTTTGATTTTTATGAACTCTTGCTTTAATTTGTTCGAAATGGATATCATTTGTATATGTACCGATAGGAAAACTCAACCAGGTAAGAAAAACCCAATTCCAGAAATCCGCATACGAAGGGGTACGACAATTGTACGCTAAAGCATTCAAGGGGATTTTACGTACTAATTTCTCGTTTCTCTGCTCAGAAATTCGATCCTTTTTCTTTGACCCGCGACGGAGATAAGCTGCAAGGAAGGGGCACTACGGACTGCTTGGGTCATGTTGCCCTGATTACTGAGCTGTTTCGACAGCTAGCAGAGAAGAGGCCGGTATTAAAGAGCACCGTTGTAGCGGTGTTCATTGCCAACGAGGAGAATTCTACCACCTTGAATGTTGGTGTGGATGCCCTTGTGGCAGATGGACTACTGGACCACCTCAAAAATGGACCCCTGTAAGAAAGAACTTGGTTATCTCTATCTTATGTAGAAATGGCTTCCTGTCTGTTATCGTGCTTGCTGTGGTAATCTGACACCAACATCTGGTTTCCTATAAGTACAAGAAGCCTTTTCATCTGGTTTATGACGCTGTGGAGTTTCTTGTGAGCAGATTTTGGATAGATGTGGCTGATAAGCAGCCTTGCATAGGTACGGGTGGTATGCTTGTATGGAAACTGAAAGCATACGGAAAGTTGTTTCACAGCGGCCTTCCTCATCAGGTCCGTTTTCATGAGCTCAGTCTATAAGTACTTGTGTGTACTGTTATTTATGCAGCTCGTCACTGTCATATGTGGAGAAATTGGATGGCCTCACTAGATAGTTGTTTGACCTCTCAAGTAGATATATATCGTCAATACTAATTGCTAACTGTCGTATTCACACCTCTCTCTTCTTAACCCAGGCTATCAATCCCATGGAATTGATGATGGAAGCGTTGAAGGTTATACAAGATCAATTTTATAAAGATTTTCCTGGTACAGAGAAAGAAGATGAATATGGCTTTGCCACTCCATCCACAATGAAGCCCACCCAATGGTCTTGTAAGTGACCACCTTCATCAACTTCTTGTTCAATGATAACAACGAGAATGCGTGTATCGCAGGTCCGCTAGAGACGTGGTTGCTGGATTTTTTCTGGCTGCGGACCTGTATATTCCATATATCCTCGGATCTCTGTTACATCTAAGTTAGGATACCAGTAGTATATTCTTGCGGACACTGACTGCGTCGTGTCATCCTTGTGTCAGATCCTGGCGGAGGTGTCAACCAAATTCCCGCTGAATGCGAAATTCGTGGAGACTGCAGGTAAACACTGATGGGAATGTGACATCCATTTTGCTTGATATCAGTTGATATACCTAGCTTTTTGCCGTTCCTTCTCAGCACGTGATCACACTGCATCAATAGTTACAAATCATGAAGTACAGTTTCTGCCGTACGAAGAACTGGTCAGATTGAATAAAATGCAAGAATCTCACGCAGAATGAACATCCCGCCCTTGGTAAGAAGAAAGCCTGTTGATGTTGAAGCTGACTAGCTTGAATCTTAGAGAACAACTGCTGCCTCTATTGAACATTATCCGCTATCTGCATATCTCATGATGATTCTCGAGTACGCTATTTCTAACTTTCAGCTTTGATAAACGTTGTGTTCTCTATCAGGATCACTCCATTTTACAGGTGCGTTCAAGCTGGTCGTCTCATGCACTTTTTTGCATCAAATTCCAAGTCCTATTTGGTTTGTCATTTCTATTATCAGTATATGTGAACCAAGTCACTAGGTTAGAACGAATTAACCACAATCCTCCCAGGAGAGACTGCTCCTGTGCACATAGCTTTGACTTAGAAAGAGAGTTCTCTCCCTCTTTTTTTAAAACTGTGTCTTCCGATTTTCTGGCAGTGTCGCAGACGTAGAAGCGAAGATCCGAGGATACGTTGATCATATCAATGCACACATTGAGGATTTGCCAACACGTGGCCCTGCATCAAAATATGTCCTGCCTGCTGAGAACTTGAAGGGCAGGTATGTGCAACTCTTGCTCACTTCGCTTTAGATATAATGACATGTATTCGGCTTTATTTCTAAAAATCTTCAGCAGTCAATTTAAATGCTGGACGTTATCCTCTTCACATTAACAGATGTGAAGAGTGTACCTTACTCATCTGATCATCCAATCTGATCTCCCTATTTGGCAGATTGGAAATTGAGTTCGATGACATGAAGCCTGCAGGCATCGCGTGTGATCTAAACTCTAAAGGATTCCACGCCCTTTGCGATGCAACAAAGAAAGTGATCGGCCATGTCAAACCCTATTCTATCACCGGTTCTCTTCCCCTGATTTTTGAATTGCAGGTAAGCCTTCAAGTTTCCGCAATAAGATTGCCAAAACTCTTATGAATTAGCTCTCACGTCTTGACTTTGGCTTATATTTGATGTTAAAAGCAAATGGGTCTGAGATATTGATATGTAAGCATCAAAGGAGCTGCAGCACAAGGTCATAGATGTAAACTAACTGTTGGCTTATCTGCAGGCGGAAGGATTCGATGTGCAGACTATTGGTTATGGTAAGTTTTCTTCCTTACTCCAGTTTCCTTAAGTATTGTGGGTACGGTTTAAGCTATCTCTACATTGAATTGCTTGCAGTTACCAGGCCTTTGGGTAATTAGTGCAAGTTAATTAGGAATGGCACAAAGTGCGAATGCATGATTGAGAAGCATGACTCACTGAGTTCTCTGGTGTATCGAACAGGTATGATGTCAACATATCATGCAAACAACGAATATTGTCTCTTATCAGACTTCCAACAAGGGTTCCAAGTTCTAGCAAATGTCATTGCAATACTGGAGGAATAGTTTACTGCTTAGTGTGGGTCTATTTTGGTCGGAGAAAGCTGTCAGCCGCATTGAAGGAGAAATAATGAAGCAGTTCGTGAGCAGCCTAGTTCAAGGATATGAAGTCGAAGCAAAGGACACCTTAGACAAAGAATGTGATAATCTATACGTAGGTCCGTACTGCAGTTAAATCAATCCAGCTGTAGAAGAAGGCAGTGAGTCGGAAAGATGCACCTCCAGTCTGCTATGCAGGAATTCCTATCGCAGCCTTCTATGTCACCAGTCGTGTACAGTGCTTTTTTATTGTATATCCAAATCTCCTTCTGTCTGTTGGAACTTGTGGCCTAACCAAAGCTTTGTATCATGCAGTGAATAGGACCATAACATGGTCGATCCAACAGGGTCCGCCTAATGTTCTCATCTTACTTTCATATAAGTGACAGCATTCTTCGTTCAAGTTCTCCCAACAAACCCTCAGTGTGTTTTTCCAAGTAAGCAGGGTTCAAGGTTCATGATATTCTCTTCACAGAGCTCTCACATAAGACGAGATCAACTTTAGATTCATCAACAATGCCTCACATTAACGAACCTCCTCTAACTCGTCTTACATGTAGTTAATCTTACAGTCGGAGTGCCTGGAAACTCTGCTCCATGGTGCTGCTTCACTAGCATGATCTATAAGAGCTGTTGGAAGACAGAGATCGTATGACAGTACCTGTCATTTCGAAGCTCCTACAAAAGTAGTAACCGGCACCGCTAAATGTAGATTGATCATACTTGACACCTAACTTTTATAGTTGGCTTCTAGTCTCCTCATCGCCTACCCGCGCCCCCACCAGTTGACTTTAAGTCCAAATGTAGTTTACATCATTGATTCACGCGATTCTAAGGCTTTAATTTTCTCCCCGAAAGTTAAGAAATTTGAGGCAACTGAATCACTGTACTAATTATCAGGATCCTGAGTTGGGCCGAACCAGCAATATATATATTTATATTCATTCCCAGAGCATGATGACAACAACGTTACTTTGTTCCAAGTCAAGCAGTGGTAAAATTAGTGGTATATCTGTAAGTGTGAAAGATTTACGCTAGTTGGACACCTGAGATTGTATAATGAGCTTTACACACCTGAGTGATATGCTATACGTTATTCTCGTTTCTTACGTAGAATGAAGACTTTGAAATCGGTACTTGCTTAGAGGTGCAATGTGGTGCCAAGAATGACTAACGCTCTGTTAGGATTCATTTCAAGATCTCCAGGGCGGAAATTTTCTAATTTTTTAGTCAAATCCAAGGTCAGGTTTTCTCCTTCTACAACAATGCCTGCTAACATTATCAGCTTCATAAGCTTAATAGCAACTTTCTTTCTAGTTTGCGACCCTAACTGAAGTCTCGTCAGTATAAACTCTTGATCAAAACGCAAGTGAAAGTATACCTGATCCACGGTTTACATTGTGCTACACAGGTGACTGTGCAGATTGTACTTACATTTTCCTCTCCTTTTCTGATGTCTACGTAGATGGGTCACCGATCTGCGGGATATGTTTCCTCAATAAGTTATGAACGGTATATAGCTAAGCCTGACTATTTGACTAACCACCTGATTTCTCTCCAACCCAGGATTGAGGTTGTTGGCACTAGATTTGTTATGGCTTCTTGAGTTTTCCTTTGTGTAATGATTTCTTTCCAGGAGTTCAACATTTTCTATCCTTGTGCTACTGTACCCCCTGGAGAGAGTACTTATCCTTCTACTTATGGCTTGTGCTCATGCACTACTAAATATGTCAAGCCATTTTCCAATTTGAATCCCACTGACTCCGCTGACTATGCTAACTGCTCCGCTTTCTTGATCCATTCCATCTTTATCTCTTGTAGTGATTGTGTTTTTGCTAGGATAACCGGGCTGACCATTGAACATAGCTGAGAGGGTCTTGATCCAATGGTATGCAGACTGGTCAGCATACAATGAGGTAATCAAGTCGATAATTTGCCTAGATTATTACTAATGATAATTATTTTACGATAATTATCTGTCATCTCGAGCAGAAGTAAGCTGCAGCTGCAGCTTGACTTACTCGTGAGCAAAGATCGAAATATATCAACCTGTAGGCACTATATGGACCGATAAAACATTGACAACCCTCTCCGACTTCGAAGTAAGTTAATTCAACCTATTGGTATGTAGGAGGCACCTTCAATGTCTTCTATTCATAAACACAAGGTCCCTTATTTGGTACTTATACTTAGAATGTATTTTACCACATCTCTGTTAATCTGGGTGATTCATGCACTTCAGTCGGCATGGATTATATATAACTTTGTTTTCAGAAGGTGATAAAAGGAAGAACAAGACTGAGCCAAGAAGACCGTGTATGTGAAACATGCAAAAATTTTACATTTGATACATAAATTTACTCACCAACATATTTTGAAATATTCAGCGAATGATGACGAGCTATTGCTCACCGACCAACAGAGGTAGAAAAGCTATCATAATTTGTCAATTTAGCACTGCACCAGCGCATCTGTCCCTGTAACCTTCACTCTATCACTATGGTTCTTGTGTGATGTACCTAAAAGTACAAACGCTGACTTTGTGGAGTGACCCGAAGGGCTGAAGCTTTGAAGGCAGTCCTTTCCCTCCTCGCTCTGAAGAGCAAGTCACCGCATAGAAATGGAGGGGCCTTTAAGACATAGGAAACCCATTTGACTCATCTCGAGGAGCTAGAGTATGCAGTAACATTTGTTAGCCCCCTAAGCACATACCGAGCATAATGTATGTCACCAAGCATAGGTTTAGCCTACTTGACAGACCACTCATTGTTGATGGGTGACTGATGTAACTTTAAGAAATTCATATGATATTTTAAAGACGTGCATAGGTAGACCGGTTCAAGTTTGGCTCCCGTGCCTCGACACTCAATTCCAATTCTTCACCAAGGTCTCCTGCAACAGGAGAGAAGTGGTAGTCTACAAGTTCCGTCGTGACCTGCTCTAAGGTTGCCGGATTCCACTGCAAGATTACAATCCGCCTAGGAGTTAGAGAAAGGATCCAACGTGAAAAATTAAACGAGAAAGATGAGTCCAGGTACCACAAAATCCGCTAGGAATGTGTGTTCTTACCTTTGGTGCATTATCCTTGTCAACCAATACAGCTCTGCACCCTTCCGCAAAGTCGTTGCTGAATTTGCCTTCGATTGCATGAAGACTTAGTCTGAACTCCCGCTGCAAACACTGAAACAAATGCTGCTTCCTACCTTCTCTGACCTTTTCATCCAACGAATTTCCCCGAAACAAAAGTTAGTAGTCAGTACTGTTAAATTTCCTTAACTGCGTTGGACATAATAGATTGGTTCTAGCACAATAGGGGGCGATGAACCTAATATGCCGTACAGGACTGTTGCCTGTGACAAATGGAAACGCAAGGAAGAGATATATAGAAAATTCCTTTGGGCAAGTCCTGCTTTGGAAGTTTTGACTAAGCATGACATATGTATCACCATCGCCCACGTGTAAGTGGAAGAAGGATGTTTCACCAGCCAAAACCCTCAGTAAAATTGATGTTTGAAAGCGTTTTTGCAAGTCGTACCGATCTGAGGGTGATTTTCAAGCTCAATGGAGATGACTTCTTCAACTTAGCAAGAGTTTCTTGGAACCAAGGATTTCCGCTTTGAACTCCGGCCTCCTGTAACCAAGAAACACACATTCTAAGCAGGTAGATGACAAATTCACATAAAATGAAGATTCCGCAAGAGAACTTACGACAGTCCCTTATACATTGAATGGGGACTTTTATCAAAATCTGGCTACATTTATCCCTGAGATAATATGCTTGAAATCACTTACAATCGTACGAATGATCTCTTCCATGGAACTTCTTCCGAAGCAGCTGTCGATTTCTTGCCGTCTGTGAATATTGCACGGAGTCAATCTCCTCCACTCAAAGATTTGTAAAACGTTCATCGACACAGCAAATTTGCAAAAAAAATTGCTAAAACACAAAATACCTACCTGTGCAATGGACTGTTCTCGTTGAGATGCACAATATCGCAAAACTCGTCAATAGCCTTGCTGATAACCGCTCGGTCTAGGGTGTTTAGAGAGCCAAGACGTTCTTCGAGCATGCCTAGCCGCTGCATAATTTACGGTCAACCAAGTGAATAAAATTCCATAGAACCAAATTGATGGACAACATGCCACCGCTAATGAAAATCGAAACCAAATGCTTACTTCCAGAGTTAATTACAGGCACAAAGATACATCATTATATATTTATGAACTATTCCCACTTCAAATTCACAGGTTCATGTCAAGAGTCTTACATGCGAGGGTACGAAATGTGTAGCCAAATTGCAAGCAACCATGTCAGCGCCATCAAGCCGGGTCCCAGTAAGACCCAAGAACTCTCCTGTTGTAGACAAAATGTCAGCAACTATCAGCAATATCAACTACATAATATACATCCTATCCAATCAAGCAAACGACCAGAAATTTTTTGAAGGCATTGCAATTCCTTGTAAAGACCTGCGAGACCCGTTCCACACGGCTTTCTTGTATCTAAATAACTCTTTCGCTGTAAGCAAAAAACAAGCTGACAACCAGAGAAAAACCTCACCTAAATGGCCCGGCAGCCGTGAGAGGTAGTATGAAGCACCTACATCGGGATGAAGTCCAATCGCGGTCTCCGGCATGGCAAACTTCTGATCTCAAACAATTCACGGAATATAAGATCTACGTATTTCATATTAACAGACAGGTTGATAAAGGTCCAGATGATATCATCCTCATCTCGGCATACAAATAAATACCAAAAACGATGAATCCCAATATTGCGTGCGTGACCACGCATGTTACAATAAGATTTACAACTGAAAGATAAGCTCACGATAAAAAAATAAAAATATTGCTCCAGTCACAACCGCACTAGTATTTCCAGCCATATCTTAAAGATCAGAGACCCCACACTCTGGCTGAGCGGAGCTAAAGTGAGACATCACAAACTCTTCATCATAATTCAGTTTCAAGTTTATAAAAAAACACTTACAGAATTCTCTGTCGCAACACGGAAAGATCCATGGACTGAAATCCCAGTACCACCTCCCATAACTACCCCGTTCAGAAAGGCAACCTGGCAAAACATGTCAAAATTCTTAACGATCAAAGACTTAACGACTACTGTCATGGGCAGAAGCAAGCATGAAGAGATTTAAAGTCATCTGACTATCGACGAAGATATCTCACCAGAATCATAGCAGATTAACAAAACAATACCTCTTCTCCTCGCAACTCAGAACATGGACTGATGGTGCAATAGAGGTGAGGTTACGCACTGACAAACGATGGGTCTTCGGATGCGTATATGCGGAATAAGACATCAGAATACAGTAGCACAACTTACGTGGGGTTTCTTGTAGGTACCAAGCAAGTAATTCAACAGATACTCCTGTCTGAAGAACTCAAATGCCTCATCCTTCTTTCCTGGACACGGAGTCAACTATAACATGAGTATGTTGCGTAGAGGAAAGATCTACCCCAATAAAGTTAGTTAGATGAAAATTGTACAACGCAAGGAAATGACGAAGATTTACTCAAGTTACACGGAATCCCAAATATAGCACCAAAAAAGCTTCTCCCTTTTGAAATCAGTCAGAGCATATAATGTTGCTTGAATTTATTAGAGATTGCGTACAACCTATGTTGCTATCAAGGCCACCGTATTTACCTGCCTTCCCTAAGTGATATACCTGGGCTACATCTCCTCCAGCACAGAAACCTCTGCCATTTCCCTGCAAAAATTCCAGTAGTTTAGAAACACTCAAACTAAAGCCACTTCTGAGAAAATTATGTGCAAGAACTGATGTTCAGAGAGAAAATTTGTAGTAGGAATACAGATGCCTGAAAAATATACATAAAGATTCGCCAAGATAACTTCCAAACTTACTTTGATGATAACCAGATGCACAAAGTGGTCTTTCTCCCACCTCGTATAAAGCTCTTTTAATCGAGTCACCTGGAAATAACTTCATTTTTCAGTGACTGCAAAGAGGAGCTCACGTTTTTCCAAACTTTTGCATTCTTCTTTTTTAGATCTCCAAAAGAAAGATAATCAGCTTTGCAATTTGGTAGCTCATGGCTCAACAAGGAGCTAGGACAAACATACTTGACAAGTTTTTTATGCCTTCAACCTGACATCAAGTTCAATTTTGATTATAGAGACTACAAATAAGTACTGCTTAAGTAAGGATTCTAGCTATAATCTATGTTTCAAAAATGACCTAGTCAATAAGGAATTCATACCATTGTTGTGTTGAGTGCATTTAATTTTCCGGGTCGATTCAGAATTGCTACCTTGGTGCAATACCGTTCTTCTACCAAAATCTGAAATTCAGACCAGATAAACCTTCAGTTAAGGACAATCTGAGATAAAATGGAGAGATATGATCGAAGAATCATACAGATGGCAGCAGTGAATGATCATGGACGAAAATTGAGTCGTAACTCCAAGGAAACAAAAAGAGTTTTGGACCACTGCAACAATTCTCTTCTGTAAATCGATCAAAGTTTCACTTCAGATGCTTGAAGCTTAGTGCCTAAATGAATATAAACTTTTTAAGTTCAAACGGACGATTTGATCCCGAACTTTCGCGGAACTTATCAGATGAAATGGAATAAATTGGTGTTTGGAAGTACACCACTCATCATGCCATCAAAATCATTTGAAACAACCTCAAAAATTTCGTGTAACCTACAGAATTGTCGTTCACTGGACGATCTTCACGGATTGACAACCAGAGCACAAAAAATATCACACGTAATTCCATCGCAACCAGAATTCCACTAATCTTTCAAAACGAACAAAAGAAATTCACAATCCAGCTGATTCTCCAACAATTGCAGTCAGAAAACAAATTCAAAAATTCTCCAGACCTCTTCTTCGGGAGAGGAAACATTTGCGGGCACCACGGTGGAAGAGAACCGAGCCATAGCAGAATTCATTGTGGGGATCGAGGACGACGACGAAGTCACAGCTGCTGCTCCACCTCGCAAACGCTGTAGGCTCAGATGCCTGAGCACATCTACTCCTCTCATAGTGTCCTGGCGTCTGCGCTTTTCGGGCGCTTGCTATTAATCGAAATTCGTCGAACTCGGTATAGAACAAATCATGCTTCCGAATGCAAACAATCAGACACGATCAAACTTGACTGCGCCTAAACAAGAGCAGGCGAATCGAATGAGGGCATATCTGTCGTCAGCCCATTGGAACATTGGTCTTCCCTTCCCACTCGCCTTCCCACTCACTTGCCAACTTTGGCTCTTGCGTTCCTTGCCCACCTACTTTACGCAGTTGCAGAACTTGGATCCAGTTCAGCTTGCTAATATTTTGAAATGGAAGTAGTGAGTAATAAGGGGCACCGAGTAATACAGCGGAGGGAGTGAAAAGGAATATGATGACAAAAATGATGGCAACAACCCTTCCAACCAAATGTGTAACATGAGGTTGGCCACAATAATATCACAATCTTATTATGTACTTGCGTCTAATATTCACAGTTTTTTACAATATCCAAATTATCTAAATTTGAATTGGTACAAAAAACATGATTATCTAAAATATTTGCTCTTCCCTAAATAACACCATCTAAAAATTCTGTTTAAAAATGAAAACATGTTAAACTAAAACCTTCTATATATTAATCTCAATAGCTTGATATGACATGAATGTTAGTATGCTAGTCTTTGCTAGTTACTCAGAAATATATTGGAATCTACATCTATATGTACATTTTATCTTTCTCTAAATGTCCCTGATCTAGGAAAAGCTGGTCGATTTCCCTCCCCTCACGGCTAATTCATGAAAAGAAGTATAATTCACTCCAAAATCATGTCATGAATAAGATTGCTAACTACCATGTTTTCAAGAGTAAACTAATAATCACAAAATCACTATGAGTTTGTCCAAATTCTAGTCAATTAAAATACATCCCCACACTTTATGTGATGTATTCACTCACTCGTCCCTATCAAATATCACATCTCCACTTGGATCAGTTAAAGGTATAAGGTGCATTTTGAGATTCATGTAAACTTCTATCACATCTAAATTATCAATCTGTGACATACGAATAATGAAGACTTACATGAATATATCAATCCAACAACATGCTCAACAACAACTGCAGCTTCTGTCTCTGTTGAGTACTGTCCATGACAGTGAAGATATTGTTTTCCACATCACTGGAAGTGAAATCAGTGACCGCTTACAGTTTGTCTACGGCTTCAACTGGAAACATCAGAAAGAGAATTATACAGATAATAAGGTCTTTGGCAATGGAGATGCCTAGAAGAGCTAATTTGTATGTGATAGATAAATAATGTATCCCTTGGTTACAGTCTTATTTCTTTATTGGCTTATATCAAATCTTCCCAAACGTTTTCTTTTTCCATATTATTTTGAAGTTTCGGGAGGCTCTCCCACATAGCTTATACAGTCAATGAAAGTCGGATTACTCCCTGACATATAATCTAACTTCAAATTTTTTTTGCTTCTTTGATCAACAATGCATGCGCTGCATGCAAACCGTCCGTTATTGTCATGTTTCCTTAATGCACACAAATTTTTAGTTTTCTCTAATATGAGTAGCAAAATTCAAGGTAACAAGAACTCAATTAGCACATCTGAATTTGCTTTTTAAATGCATTATTAAATAAGATATTTATAATAATTATTAGACACTAAAAATTACACATCAATGTATGATTGAATCTTATACTCAATTATAATTAACTTAAGCCTGCATTGACAGAATCAGAGCGAATAAAAAGAATTCTTTGGTGATGTGCATTTTACAAATTTATTTGAATAATTGTCTTTTAAAAAAGGCATATGTAAAAATGTATAAAAAATATTTTATTAAAAACTATATATGAATATCATATATTTAAAAAAATAAATATTATAAATACAGAAATCATTTTATATTTTAGTAAGATGCTGGTATATTTTAAATGATTTTTTAGAATATTTTTCACAGATTTCATAATTAATATTTATGTTTATTTTATTTTATTTGAAAATATAGTATTTCTTTACAAGTTTATATATTCTAGGATTTTTATAAAATTTAGTTTTACATTAATTTGAATATATATATATTCAAATTTATTTTAAAAATTATAACTTAAATTTTAAATAATATTTTTGAAAAATAATTTATAAAATATCTACCAGATTTTAAATTTCAAAATTATTTTAAAATTAAATTAATTTTATATTATTAAATATAAAAAATATTTATAAATGTAATTCGAACATTTCAAAAAACTCAATTATTTTTGGAAAAAAACACTTAAACCTAAAAATATGTTTTATATAAATATTTTTAATTTTTCAAATAATTTAGCATGATATAAAATTTCTAAAATGTTTATCAAAATAAAAAACAATTTATTTTTATTTTTAATAAATTAAAATAATTTATTTTCTATATTTGTTACAAATATGATAATTATTATTTATTTTTTCATTTTCACAACTCATTTAAAAAATAAATTTTCAAATTTTTTTTAATTAGCAGTCAAAGATATCCAGCTGAAAAATCTGATTTCCTGGTTATATACACAAATAAAATGTGTCAGTTCGTGATAGAGGCCTGAATTTCCACAAATTCAATTTTTCAAGCACAAAGTAAAGGTAGGACTAATTTGTAGATTGTTCACTAGCTGTCCTCGGTATTCTCTAAATACGGAAATTTGTCAATGGAGTTCAATATATTCCGTATTTAAAAATACGAAAGTTCAGTATTTCCAAAAACAAAATTTCTAGGTATAGTACTAGAGATTGGTAAAAGTTAAACATTCAGTTCTTAAGTTTATGCAATGTGACTATGAATGTGTTTTACTATATTATAATTTAGTATGCTTATGAGCTAAGTTGATGTCAAAATCACAATCTTCAAATCACATTTATATAAAAATATATATTTAAACACAACACTTATTTTAACAGTGTATAATATTTTAATATATAATTTATATAATATATAATTTTTTAATCTAATTTTTTAATATAAAGTTGACACAAATCCATTGAAAGTTTTCAATAAATTCAACAAAAAATTTATTTTTTTCTCTTAAAGTAAATAAAAAATAAAAATAATTTTAGATGATTTCTATATATATATATATATATAACTTGAATGTGAGGTAATATTTATGAAAAATCAACCTTGCCACAAAATAAAAGTAATGTGCAAAGCATGTATTATTCATTAAGAGATACTTAAGATGAACATTATAAAGATGTATGTTATTAAAATTTTTCAGTTGTGAGGTTTAATGCTCAATCTTTTCACAAAAAAATGATTGAAATTAGTGAAAATTTTATATAGGTTTTTTATATAAAATAAAGATAATTAAATAAATATTTTTAAAAATTTCCTAATCTATTTAACTTCTAAGAAAATTAAACCAAAAATTTAAACACAATTGGAGGAACAAAAATCTAACATGAAAGACATTAATATAAATTGATAACATTTTTTTCATCCAAATTAATACAATAATTCATAGATTTTATGAAAATGTATTTATTTCTTTTAGTAGATACAATATTAAAAACTTTACAATAATTTTATATCAATTGATTTGTTCTCATTTAGCTGTGTGATTTGAAAAATATCTAAATTTTATACACATAATCTTTTGCAATGATCATTCAGTTGAAAATAAATGCTTATGTATTATTTATGCTTAAAATTATTGTTCTTGATTAGTTTTAAGTAAAATATTTTGAAATATATATTATACCCAAAAATATATTTTTTTATTTATGATATATATGTGGTAAATTAAATTATATTTTTTTGAAAATATACAAAAATACAGAAAAATATCTTAGTTTTTTGAACTTTTGAAATGAATTTTTTTAAAAAAATATTATGTTTTTTTAAATAAATTCACAAAAAAACCTGATCACAAAAAAAGATTTTTTTATATATATAAATTTACAAGAAACAAAAAATTTAAAAAAACATGATAAATTTATTACCACATTAAAAAATATTTTTTAATATCTTTAGCATATTATGCTCATAATTTAATTATAAATGAAAATTCACAAAATTGATAATTAAACTCTGCATTTTCAGATCCATTGAAACTCTACATAAATGGTTTGCTAGAAATGTATGTTAGCGAACACTAACATATACATGAAATAAGATTGCACTCTTGCACATAAGAATGCTGTTATCCGTAAGTTAGCATTGATACTTAGTGTCATGTCTTCTAGTAAATACACAAAATTGTCAATTATTTCTCAGTGGTGCACAAACTGAGATATATCTTAAAATGTGTCTGTGTACATCTTAAGTTTTACATTTCAATTACTTAAAAATATCATAGAGAGCTAATTTATTTATATATAGTCTTACAATTTAATATTTCTGGTATAGCTAACCAAATTAAACTTAACATAAATTAGTTTCTGTTTCCATAAATTTCTATGTATATATAAACTTTAAATATGAAGATTTCTAAAGATATTATAATTTTTTTATAAAAATAAACAAGAAAAATGTATATAAAATCGATTATTTTTTTTTTTTTGAAAATCTTAATACTTAAAAAAATTAACATATCCTTTTTCGAATGAATTTATTAAGAATATAGAATTTTTCTTGAATTTTAATCAAGACTGAAAACTCTTTTATATATATCAATGTATGATTAAGGGTTATAATGAGTTATGATTAAAATTATAATAATTTATGAAAAAATTATATTTTACTTCATAATACTTAATAAATAAATAGATAAAATCAATTCTTAAAAATTGCACAGGCAGACAAACATGAAACCGAGTCAAAATAGGGGTGATTTGTTACCCATGGATCTAATTTTAACCCTATCTAGATTAATTTTTTATACTTATTGTAACTTCAGCGAAGTGAACTAGAGTTAACTCAAAATCTCGGTCTATACTAAGAAATTTTATTTTATTTACTTTTTATTTTAAATTGAAATTTAGTGATGCTCAAAAAGATTAAATTTCTGATGATTTTATAACATTTATTCGATAATAAAACTTAAAATAATTTAAAATGTATATTTATTTAAACTAAAATAAATTATAGAATAATTTTAATTTAAAAAATAATACTTCATTATATATTTCATAATATGAACACTGTAAAAATTTTACTTAATAAATTTTTTTTTAATATATATTCTAAAAAATTATCATATCTATTTAATTTTCAAATATTTTTTTAAAAATGAATTTTT